AACAAATGAACCAAGAAAGGTAAATAACTCTCTTATTGACTGTCATTCTGAATTCATTTTAAGAATACACAATTCTCAAGTAGTCTCAACAATGGGATTAAAGTTTCATGATTAAATACTGCCTTTAAAAAACATTTATATATTTACATATTTCCTTGGAGAAATATATATGTCACCCACCAGCTGGTCTTGAACCTGAGATTTTTTCTGCTTCAGAGTCTCCCAAATAGCTGGAACTAGAGGCACATGACACCTGGGCAGGCTGCAATTGTATTTTTAAGATTGTGTGTTATAAAGGTGACAAGACCACAAGTTAGGATAATTTGGGTTGGGTATGGGGGAATTTCTTTATGTGGATCATACTAACAATGAGAATTCTAAATGATTCGTAACTTTGCCTACATAAACACACACACACACACATGCGCACACAAAACCCCTTAGAGTATACCAGCATCAAAAACAAAATGCAAATGCTAAAACGGGAAAATATTTGTGACATAGATGACAGAGAGCTATCCTTAAAAGACCTCATAATGAATGTGGAGGAAGTCGAACAGTCTGACAACGTTGGGCAAAGGCGGTGAACAGAGAGCACATGAGAATACCAGTGAAGATCTGGAAGGAAGAGGCAGGGTGGTGTTTGATCGCGGCTTCACCCCAATGTGTAATGAGTGGTGGTATTTAAAGAGCTCTTCCCTACTCGGGAGATTTCTCTCTGCTTGGTTTCAGGTTATACCAATGGTAACAAACCAGACACTAGGAAATGTTCAGGGCAGATCATGATCAAGTATGCCTTCTTACAGCCCTCGGGAGCCTTAGGTGGGGGATCAAGAGTTCAAGGGCACCCTGGGCTATAATAGTGAGACTCTGTTTCAAAAAACAAAAGCAGCTTGAGTGCCTGTGGCTCACACCTGTAATCCTAGCTATCTGGGAGGCAGGGATCAGGGGATCAGACCCTATCTCAAAAATACCCAACACAGAACAGGTCTGGTGGAGTGGCTCAAGTGGTAGAGCACATGTCTAGCAGGTGCGAGGCCCTGAGTTCAAACCCCAGTACCACCAAAAAAAATAAAAAGAAAAAGAAAAGAAAAGCAAACCAATACCTTAGACCTCTGTGAATTGATCCTTTGATTGCACTCTCTCTCTCTCTCTCATCCCCCACTCCATGCCAGTGTCCCCTCCTCTCTGTTCACTTAAACTTATCTTCATCCTTCCTTACCTAATTGGGTAACTTCCTAACTCATCTCCCTATCTTCGGTCTCTTCCATCTTCTGGACTCCCAGATCATAGTTTTAAATGAGATAAAGTAATTGTTTTTCTCACTCAGAGATCTCAGCAGTCTGTGCATTAGATAGAGAAGGAACCCTCAGACTTCTTGTCCTGGTGGACTTTCCAATCTCATCTCCTGTTACTGCCTCTCCCGACAAGATGTGCTCCAGCTCTGCTCTGCTGCAGGCTTTCCACAAATGCTAGAAACTCTCCCACTGCCAAGCTTCACACGTGCAATTCCTCTGCCTTCAGCTCACGCCACCTGTAGTCTAGCACTCCTCCACAGTATCAACCAGCCGATTATAGCCCTGCTATTCTGGTGGTAAGACTGCAGGTAAGGGTTGAGGATGTCACCCTCATCCCTAGGTCACCATTACCAAAAATCACCAGGAAGATGTAGTCTGCAATAAAGAAATTAACCTTTTTCTGTTTTTACTTCAGTGTGGAATGCTTTTTTGCCCTGCTAAAACAAATACTTTTGAAGTGCTAGATGTGGAAATTCCAAAGCGTTATTTTCTGATTAAGAAAATTTTCTGATTTTCTGATTAAGAAAACACCAGAAGTAAAATTATACACAGCAATACTTGATCCCCCCCCTCCACTTTATTTTTAAAAGATTTGAAACTCACCAAAATGAAATCATCCTAACACTTTGATTTTTTAAAGTTTGACTCAAAATTTAAAACTTAGCTCTGTTTTCCTATTTATTAGTGTCAAAGTGCTTCTGGGCTGGAAGTGCCTCTGTGAGGACCACTGAGTGTTACCCGGATGAGAGAATATGATGAGGATTGCATCAGGCGACACCTTGGAAAACAGGGCCTCCAGCCCAGGGTAGGATACGCCACAGCAATGGAAGATGGGGTTAGATGAGATTCTAGGCTGAGCACCATCCCCAGAGCAGAAAGCCCCCTGCCCCACCTCCCACCGGCCAGTTATCGAGTAGCCTCCATAGTACCCACTTTTTGCTTTCCTCCCCAATATGAGTTTAACCAAAGGGTGACTACCTTGACAACTGTCCATGGTTAGGGTGAAGTTCTGAAGCCTCATTCCTAATGTGGTCATAAGACGTCCTGGGCTCTCTTGTCCACAACTTTCAAGACACTGTCCTACCTTTAGAGGTGCAGAAGGGACAGTCAGGATACACAAAACCCACCAGTTCCACTGACCTGGGTGGAAGAGGGGTTTTTAGGATTGCACTCCACGAATTAAGGGGCACTATTTATTCATTCATCAATGTTTACTTGTTGCCTGGCACGTGAATGAAATTTCTGTTCTGGGTACTGGAACACAGCTACTAAATGAAGACGAAGTCCCTCCTCTGCAAACACATTCCAGTCGGGGAGAGTGGTGACGAGTGCTATAAGTGTGGGACATAAAGGATGGGGGAGATTGCTCCTTTAATAGAAACAGCCAAAAACAGAAGAAATTAAAAAAAAGAAAGAAAGAAATAGCCAAAAAAAAAAAGGCAACATTCAAGCAGAGGAAAGGAGTGGGCAGTACTGGTACCCAGCGGAAGGATGTTCCCATGGCAGAGGACTTGTTGAAGGATGCAGAAAAGGGAGCACAGAGCGGAAGAGGCAGCAGTGGGGCTGGAATGTAGGTGCTAAATGGGCCACTGTAAAGAATTTGACATCTACTCAGCAAGAAGGAAATGTTGACTGCAGGGAAAGAAACAGAAACAGGGAAAGTTAGGAGGTTTTTGCCAGAGCCCACGAGAGGTGTCTTGGACCAGATGGTTGTCCTGGTCCCCGCAGCAGTAAATGGTTGGATTCTGGGTATATGCTGGAGATCGGGCCAAGAGGATTTATGGGTCACTTCTCCCCCTATCTTACTTCCAGGAGTAATAAGATTAAAGAAGGGTCATCTTAAGATGTATATTCAATCCTTCTTATTCACAAATTGTGTATTTGGGAATGAGCCTACTCACTTGCAACCCCAAATAAGTTCTTGTAATGCTTTCACAGTCATTTGTGGACAAGCACAGTGGTGCTTTCTCAGTCCCCGAGGTGATATGTTCCCGGCTGAGGTCTAACAGAGTCGTTTCAGTTCTCACACAAGTAGGTGTTCTAGCTTGTGTGCGTCTTGTGCATCGTCCGCTTTTTGATTTTGCCATCTGAAATAGCCCTCAAGCCCAGTGCTGAAGTGCTGTTTAGTGATGCTGAGCACAAGGAGGCTGTGACGAACCTGACAAGAGCAATACCCAGGCAAGGTGCTGTTGGCTGGGAGTTGTGAGTGAGTCAACAGTAGGCATTAAGAAAGATGCCCTCTAAGGAGAAACACATGTAAAATAGGTACGAATCGATCAACTGATGAAAATGCTGTGACCAGTATTTCTGCTATGGGCAATGGTTCACTATTTGCTACTTCAGCATTTGTGGTGACCTTATAGAACATGTGACTTTCAAAAATAATGAGAATCAGCTGTAAAAATTACAGTAAAATGATTTGGAGGATTCAAAAAGACTATCAAGGGCTGGTGGAATGGCTCAAGTAGTAGACTGCCTGTCTAGCAAGCATGAGGTCCTGAGTTCAAACCCCAGGACTACCAAAAAAAAAAACAAAAACAAACCAACCAACCCAGGGTAGGGGAGGGGGGAGTTAAAAACACCTTAGCTTGCAGAGAAAAACTACAAGAAACTGCTATTCCTTAAACAGCATTTACTGTTTAGGCTGCATCCTGTATCTGGTAAGAGAAATGCTAAGCAAGAGGAGCCTGGGCTCAATGCACTGGTTTCATCCTGGATGCCAATGGGATCACCTGAGGACTTCTAAAGGAATGCTTGAGGCCAGGTATGATAGTACATGACTATAATCGCAGCTACTTGGACGGCAGAGCCAGGAGAATCATGGTTCAAGGACAGCCTAGGCAAAAAGTTAGCAAGACCCCATCTCAACCAACAAGCAGGCATAGTGAAGGGTGTCTGTGATCCCAGCTATGGGAGGCCATAGGTGGAATCACAGCCTCAGATCAGCCCTGGCAAACATAGGAGACCCTATCTGAAAAATGCTATATGCAAAAAGGACTGGGGGCCAAGGCTCAAGTAGTAGAGTGCTTATCTAGCAAGCAAGAACATGAGGCCCTGAGTTCAAGCCCCAGTACCACAAAACAAAAACTGAAACCTTGCTTCTCAAACTTCAGCAAGCCTAAGAATCAGATGCAGAGGTTGTTGCATAGGCTGGAAGTACAGGAGTAGAGAATTAGTGTAAAGCCCTGGGTTCAATCCCCAGCAAAAAGAAAACCCTACTTGGCTCCACCCTGCAAGACTTTGGTTCAGCAGTCGAACACTTTGCATTTCTAGCAAAGTCCCAGGCGATGCTACTATTGCCAGCCTATAAACCATGCTTTAAGGACCACTGCTCTTCTGTCAGGTCAGTCATAGAACCTAAGTGAGCAGAAAAGTAAAGCCCAGGATGGAGCTGTTCTCACCTCCTGGTCCCCCTTTTCCTGGGTGGCTCTCATTCTGCCCACTTCATTTTCCATGCAGTTCAGGCTGCTGACCATGGCAGCCTCAGTCCAGCTGTGGGATCCTGAGCACTGAACTCCTCACACCCGCATCAGTTCTGGCTTTGCTCAATCCCAGGAGCCGGGAGCAGATAATCTGGCCATATTGAAGACCATGCCTACTACTGTTACAATCCTGGTAAATTATTGCTACAGAAAACTTTTCCTTCATCATTACCATTCTTTGCAAATTTTATTCCAAAACGGGGGGGGGGGGGGGGGGAAGAAGGGGGCGGAGAGGGGTGTGTGTGTGTGAGATTAAAATGTCCATAGAGTAATCATCATTACAATAAAGTATTCAATTAGACAGAAATGAACAGGACCCAATTCAGTACGCAATGTCCTATTTCCCTGAGGCATAAGTTTAAAAAAAGCCTTCTCAGGGAGGAAGCTTAGGACGCTTTTACACTGAAGTGGTGCCCAAATGAGTCACAAAATCCCTGATTCTCCCTCCTATTTATCCTTTTCCTTCTGTTCCTTTTCTTTCTTCTCACGCTCAGCTTTAGCTTCTTCTTCCTCATGTTTTTTGATCAGCTGTTCCACTTCCTTTTGTTTGAGAACTCTGATCACCGTCTTTCCACCCTCTCGTGTTAGGGTGGCAATTTCCACTGAAAACAAACACAGACACATCTGTATCAGGGGCAGGCGTGCTCAGCACAGCTCACCAGCACTCATGGCTTACTCGTCTCCCATTATCTGAGCCTCGGTTCATCACTCTCCCATGTTCTATGCTGCATATGATTATGGGAAAAATACCTTTGGTCTTCTAATGTCTTGATTACCATTTCTTAAGCATCTTCTCACCCATCCCAGCTCTGCTCAGCAGACATCTGTCACTCCCTAGGAAAAGTCCCCTCAGCACTTGTTCGGGCTGGCCTGCTGTTTGCTGTGCTGACCAGGAGGAGCCTTGCTGGAAGCCCTGAAGACTCAGCCAAAATCTTCAACTTTTCAAATCTCTTTTCAAAATAATGCCAGCTTCCATGAAAAAAAGCTTCCATGGCTACAGGCAAGAAAAGCAAACGGATACCTAAAGGGGAGGAATTTTTTGTGTAGGGAAATTGAGTAGGGTCTCCTTGAAATTAGGCAGAAGAGCAGAGGGCAACCTCTGGGTGAGTGGCATCTTCTACGTAATGCTGGGAGCCAAGTTACTCTACATTAAGGCAGCATGTAAACTAACCACAATTTTTGAAAAACATTATTTAGAAGTATTATTTTATCTGGTCATACAGCTTAAGTTGGATGAAGTTTGTGGAACTGCTAACAGAAGTTTAACATAAGAGATTAACGTATCCAGGACAGGACAGGGTATCAGGACCCACGCAAATGTTCTTTTTTTGATAAAGTGTATCATATCTATGTATAAATACGTAACTGTACACATACTTTGTCGTACATACACAGAAGCACAGATGCACTTGATGACAGGTCTTGATAACTGTCACCTGAAGTAGCAGATGCAGGATCTCTGAACTGAGTATTGAACATTCAGGCTCAGGTCCTTAAGACTGCCATGTGGTATGAGATTATGGCTCCACAACTTATCAGTGTTGATTTCAGTCAAGTCACTTAACCTCACAAAGCCCCAGTGTCCTCATTTATGAAAAAGGTTTAATGCACCTAACTTCTGAGATGGCTGTTTCCATGGATGAAGACTGTGTGTTGTAATGTAACCCTGCAGCAGCTCCATCAGTTCCCCTCACTTACAAAGCTAAGTGCCAGAGAGGACGGGAATTACCTTTTTCAGCAGACAGTTTACTAACATCCATGGTCTTATTTAACACTTTGATAGCTAAAGCAAGTGCCGACTTCAAAGTCATTTCGCCTTCTTTATAGTCTTGTTTCAACATTGACACAGCTGCCTGTGAAACAAAGAACAAAACAGAGAATTTCCTTTAAGTTTTGCATTTTTTAGGAATATGGATTGATGTAGAACAATGCCTGAATTTTTATTAGCATTACAACCAGTATGATGGCTGGGAGGGTAGCCATGCTTTATGAAGGAAGGCTTTTTTTCTTTTTTTTGGTAACCAGCCTTGAAGTCAGGACCCAAGCACTCATCTACTTGAGCCAGGCCCACAGCCCTTTTGTTTATACTTATTTTTTGAGATAGGTTCTTACAAGTTATTCTCACAACTTGCTGTTGAAACAGCACTTAACTACAAATGCCAGCAAAAACTGGTATATTAGCAATAGCTCTAACTGTCAGCCACAGAAATCGCAGGTGTTTTCATATCCCATGAAGGTTGCTGCAGCTTCTTACAATACTGTTGCCGTACCTCACTAATGCAAAATTATAATAGCTATCACTCCTTTTGCTAGATGTCACAGCACCACAAAGGTACTCACAGCACTGTTATTTCCAATGCATGTGGCTTTCCATCCCCCATAATTTCCACTAGGGTCACTCTGATACAGCTGAAAGCCATAGTGCTTATCCCAGCCAATGTACAGCAATGAAACACCAAAGGGACGTTTTCCTGTAACAAAAGAAAAGGAGAAAAAAACCAGTCAAACATATCAGCCATCTACATCTGGTGTCTCCATAGCTACTGCAGCTCAGCGAATGAGGCTGAAGTCTTTTCTGTGAAATGAAGCATCCTAAACTGCTTTGTGTGCTGGCTACCACAGATAAGCGTGATCAAAATTCCACTGCTGTTTCTAGGATTTGCACACAGCCAGGAGAGGAAATAAGGACACAGAAGACCAGAGCTGAATTTCGTTACTGTGGGAAAAGAATGTGCTTGCAGATTTGAGAATATTACTTTGGGCTTTCAGTATCTTATTATTACACTATATGATAATCTACATGTAGGAGCAGAATTACAAAGTGTTGATTTCCAATTACTTTTTACATCTTAAAAAGGTTATTACTTATTACATGTTTTAGGTTTTTAAAATAGTACTTCCAGAAAACTCAGTACCTCCAAACTGTGTATAAGCCTGTTTGATATCACACAGTGCAGTAACCAGCTGCTCACAAGGAATCGGCTCCTGGTACTGTAATAAATACCTAGGAAAAAGACACTGGTATATTAATAGTTCTCTACACTAAGGAAATACCTCTGAAAATAAATCTGTCATGAGGACAACGTAACAGTCACTTACAATGTGAAGAAGAAGGAGGGCAGGAAACATGTCAATAGTCTAATATCATTTCAGTAAATAACATTTTGTAAGTTTAATGAAAAAACTAATTTCCAATTAATGGAATTTTAATAACTTTAACCCTGATAAAAGCGAGCTCCCCTTAGAAACACCCCACACTAACTTCTACATCAACTACACTACTTATGTCCGTACCTTTGCGCAATGAGCCTCAATTCATTAGTCAGAACGTTAGCGTCAGAAGTGATGCCTGCCACACTGCAAGCCATGTCCCTTGAAGAAAAGGAAGATACGATCTGTGAGCAGAGCTGGTGCTTGCTAGGGGCACTTGTAAGTATTAAGGAGCACAAACTGTATAGGAATGCACCAATCCTGCTTGACACCTGCAACTCCCTTCAGAAGAAAACTACAAAAGTTTTATCTCTGTAGGAGGTGTTCACTTGGTGCCATTCACCACAGATGATAAGCAGATGCATCCTTAAATTCTCAATGGATGTATTCCAGCACCCACTGTGAACATGGCAGGAGAATAAACACTAAGAAGCTAAAGTAAATCCCAAGAAACAAAGAAAACAAAGGCTTTGTTAGGTAGAGAACTCACAGTCGCACTTCCTAAGTCCTGGCTTGACAGGTGTGAGGGTGAGTGCACACCAGGGCAGGGGAGTCCACAAGTTATCTAGGAAGTCCAGGACTAGCCTACTAGGTGTGCCCTGGCTCTCTATAGCCTAGACACCCACTGTCACCAAGTCTAGCCAAGCCTGCAAGCTGCTGAGTGGGCCCAAAAGTGGCTCTGCAGAGGAATGTTACTACCTCAGATGAGTGTATCAAAAGGCCCCATTGACAGCATTCACCAGGCCCACCAGCAAAGGGCAAATCTCTAACCAGCACAGCCAGCCTTGCACTAAATGCAACGTTTTGTACAGAGATGATAGGGTATACAGGGTGTGGTTAAACTGCATCCAGACCTCCGAGAGACAGCCCTTCTCTTTGGTAATGTCTCAGTATAATTCTGCAAAATTCCCAAACAGTTATTCTAAATAATACCTTGAGGGCCTGTTATAGGCCAGGCACTGTGCTAGTTTATTTCATTTGTTTTATTTTGTTTCATCAGACTTGTGCAATCACCAAGTCTCTCTGAGGCCCTAAGCAGTTAACCATTGGTGCAAAAGGTCACACAGCTTATCTGAGCAGCGTGGATTTGAACCCAAATTTAGTGAGTACTATTGCTATGCTGTTTTTCCACTAAGTGTTCAACCCCACACTTAAAAGAAATTACACAGGTCAGGCACCGGTGGTTCATGCCTGTAATCCTAGCTACTCGGGAGGCAGAGATCAGGAGGATCACAGCTCGAACCTAGCCTGGGCAAATAGTTCCTGAGACCCTATCTCGAAAAATCCTTCACAAAGATAGGGCTGGTGGAGTGGCTCAAGGTGAAGGCCCCGAGTTCAAGCCCCAGTACCACAAAAAAAAAAAAAAGGAACCACACAGGCTGGCAGACTGGCTCACGTGGTACAGTGCCTGCCTAGCAAGCATGAGAGGCCCCGAGTTCACAAACCCCAGTACTGCCAAAAAAAAAAAAGACAAAATAAGGGCTGGGTGTGTAACCTGTAGTTCAGTAGTAGACTGCCCCCCACCCAAAATGTATGTTGATGTAATAATTACTTCAAGTAAACAGAAAGGTACAGGACCTCAAGGAAGCTTCAAGCAAGGTCAAATAACAGCAAACATGTTTACCGGCAACAATAAAATAAGCTGCTGCATTCCACCAAGTCGCATCCAGAGCCCTCTCAAAGCTGCAGACCCCACTTACTGAGAAAGTGACATAGGTAAAACACTTCCCCTGGGTCTCACTTACTCATTGAGTTTATAAATTTTTTCAGAAAAAAAGACTTCATCGAGAAGCTTGTGGATGTTGCGTCTTTCCGCTGCAAGCAGAACACCATCGTTTGCTAAAATTCCCAAACAGGTACCAGCATGTCCAATGGCTTCCATGGCATATTCAACTTGATATAAGCGACCTATAAAACACCAGCAATGAGAAGCCAAGACTCTTGTGTGCTCTCCCACTACTGGTCCAAGAGAAATCAGCAATGGCCTCCGTAAGCTACAAACAGTTCCACTTTTACTCTTCTGTGACTTTTGATGTACTCAACCTTGTGGCCACAATTATAAGAATGAACTTAACAACCCCAAAAATGGCCAGGCACCAGTGGCTCACACCTGTAATCCTAGCTTCTTAGGAGGCAGAGATCAGGAGGATCATGACTCAAACTAAGTTAGTCAAGGCAAATAGTTCACAAGACCCTATCCTGATAAAACCCATCACAAAAAATGCTGGTGGAGTGGCTTAAGGTGTAGGCCCTGAGTTCAAACAAACAAAAAAAGCAACAACCCCAAAAATGTTTGTAGATTTTTTTTTCCCCCAAAAAAGTCTAACGCTTAAAAAAAAATGTTTACTTGAGGCAGATTAAACAATTTCTATTTTACCTTCTGGAGAAAATATAGTGGTCCTGGAGTCATACCTTCGAGACTGCAAATGAAAAACACGAAAGTGAATCCTACCCACTAAAAGTAAGCCAATTCCTACAAACCCACAAATCTAATAAAACATCCTGGTGCACAGAGTTCAGCGTGTGGGAAGAAGCTGATTGGGAAGAAGACACCACCCCACTTCTTTTCCCTTCCATTTCAGTTTTCTCAGGCAAGTCTCAGTTGAGTACAAACAACACTGCTCACCAGGCAGCAGTCTACTGACATGTGTTACAAACTCACCATGGTGCCTGAACTTTATGTAATTCCTGTAAAAAGAAAACAAGATCATTAAAATAAAATTCACAATTTAAGAAATATCTTCCTGTCACACACGCATAATCCCAGCTACTTGGGAGGCAGAGGTAGGAGGATCTCAGTCAGAGGCCAGCCAGATCAAAAGTATGAGATTCTACCTGAAAAACAAACTAGGAGGTGAGGCTCAAGGCGCAGAGCATGTGCTTTGTGAGCGCAAAGCCCCAATTTCAAACCCCAGTCCCACCCAAAACAACAACAAAAAACAGAAGGCATGGGTCAAGTGGTAGAGTGTAAGCATCCAGCCCTGAGTTCAAATCTCTGTACTGCCCCAAAAAAAAGTTTTTTGACTTTCAAACTGTTTTATTCACTGTCTTCATTCAGCTAAATGCACCTGCTAAATGCCAGATGCTGGAATACCAAGACAGAGGCAAAACCAATCCCTGTCCTGAAGAGCTTACTGTACTACTGTCAGGTGAAAGGAGAATGTGCAAAGAGGCACTGAGGGTGAGCTGGAAAGCCGCTGGAGAAAATCTACAAAGTATGTTTGTAGTGCTGGCAGAGTGGCTCAAGTGGTAGAACGCCTGCATTAGCAAATGTGAGGCACAGAGTTCAAACCCCAGCACTGCCAAAAAAAAATTACCAAGAGAAAGAATGTTTTTGGGCAACCAACAGAAAACGAAAGTAAATTAGAGATGGGAGAGGCAGATGCAAGTTGAAAACCCTCAGGTCCACGAGAAAGAATCGGGGAAGGGAGAAAGAAGGTCATCCCAGGTGGAGGAGAAAGCCTAAGCCCAGAGGACCCGAGCAGGACAGGACAGGACAGGACAGCTCCACGCACACTTGGGGGTGGGGACGGAAATCGTGGGCATTATTACCATTTCTGCAAAAGAAACACTGGGGGCTCAGTGACTGAGAGTTCAAAGCCCATGTTCCCAAAATACTGGGTTATCAGGCATCACGCCTGGAAAAGGTAAGCTGGTTCTGAAGGACTCGGGTACCCAGCTAAAACCCGACATTTTAAGTCAAGGGTGCCCCGTATGGAGTGACTCTGAGTCCAAGGGCCGTGGGCACGGGCTGGCATTTTGGAGGGGTCACCAGGCCGAGTGAGAGGCAGCCAGCCATGGGTCAGTCCCAGCGGACGGGTGCAGGAGGTGCAGAGCAGCCAGGAGGGCACAGCACGGTTCAGAAGTCACCGGCACCACCCCAGCGCCAGCCTCACGTCCTGAAGCCCCGGGGACAGAGGCCCCACGGTCCAGGCCCGGCCCAGGGGGGAAGCCCGACGGCGGCCGGCCCGGCACCGAGAAGGCGGTGCAGAGTCACGGGGCCAGAACTCCTCGGCGGCGGCTGTGCGCCGGACCCGCCGCCTCCACGCAGGCGGCTCCCACCCTGGGGACAGCGACCACGATTCCGCGGGTCCCAGGGGACCAAGGCTCACCCGACGGAAGACGCTGAAATGTGGGACTGCCCAACCGTCTTACTCTACCGGAGATGAGCCAAACCCGCTGTCGGAATAGCCTCTGCGAAGATGGCCCCCGCGCATGCGCAGAGCCGCCAGGGGGCGGGGCGGGGGAACCCGGAAGTCCTCCTGGGGGCGGGGCGAGAGCCGCCGGCGCACGTGGGCGCTCGGGAGGTGGGGATGGGGTCCTCTGTGGCAGGGGAGGAGGGCCGGCAGGATCTAGCTAAGGAGCAAGGGGAAGTATGGCTGTTTTTTCTCCTAGGCTTTGTTTTCGCTTTCACTTTAATTCTCTTTATTCTTCATAGCCCTAAGACGGAACTAAATGACTGAGCATTCCAACCCTCTCCGCCACAGCGGTCTCCACCTCAAGACTTCACCCATCATCTTGCTTCTTCTCATATCTCCCTTCTCACAGCTGGCTCCCACTTTTAAGGCTAATGTACCCATTTTTTAATGATATCAAGCAAGTTATGATGGTGTTAACACTTTGGGGAGAACTTTTGTGTGTGTGTGTGGCACTGGGGTTTGAACTCAGGGCCTCATGATTGCGAGGCAGGCGTTCTTACCACTTGAGCCACTCCACCAGCCCCAGAACTTTCATTTTGCTCTTCTGCTTGAGAAGAGATTTCCTTTGATCAACCTAGTTAAAGAAATACACAGAGAGACCCTACCGTCATCATCCACACTCAGCGTTTTCTCTTCTTTGCTGAACTGGCCATGTTTCGTTATCCATCTCTCCTTTCTAATCATTTTATCATCTGGTTTCTGTATCTATGTAAGATACTGTACATGTTTAGGTCTTGGGGGGCTACTAGATCAATATCATCTGGGTTAATGTATAGTCATTTCAGCTCATTGGAGGGACTTTGTTCTATGTAGGTTGCAAAACCATCAGCTCTGAGCTTTGAAGAGGAGGTAGCTTAGAAATGAGTTGCATTTTGAAGTCTCTCCTGTCATCTCTGCTTCCCAAGCAACACAAGGAGGTAAACCAAGGCATGGTGGAAAAGGGCCAAACCCAGACAGGTGCTCTGAAAGCATCCTCTGATGTTGTGACTTATGGCAACACCGAGTGCCACTGTCTGCCACCTTAGTTTTCTGCAAAATTCAACAAACTTATATTAAGAGTTTTAAGTAACAGGGTTTTTTAGGTTAAAAGAAGAGGGATCAAAAAAAAAGAAGAAGAGGGATCAGTTAAGACAAAGGTGTAGAAGAAATGACTTTGGCAAGTTTGGGTGACAGAGTAGTTCAATTTGGCCTGAATGGAAGAGACAGTATACGAAGTAAAGAAGGAAAGGCATTTGAGGCCAAATTATAGAGTGCTTTTAATGCCAGAATTTGTTTCCCCTGTTGGTAAATGTGACGAGAGGATTAAAGTGATGAGGAGCCAGGAGTGAGAGGCCCACGCCTGTAATCCTAGCTACTCAGGAGGCAGAGATTAGGAGGATCGGGGTTCAAAGGCAGCCCTGAGAAAATAGTTCATGAGATCCTTTCTCGAAAAAAAAATCACCACACCAAAGGGCTGGAAGAGTGGCTGAAGCAGTAGAACACCTGCCTAGCAAGCATGAGGCCCGAGTTCAGTGCCACCAAAAAAATAAAGTGATGAGGATGAGGTCTCAAGATCTTACAATGTGTCATTGACAGTTCCCATTGATTTGTTCAATGCCACCTTGACCTGAAGCTGGGTGAGCCTGTGACTACTATGGAAATGACACCATGTGACTTCTGAGAATAGGTCATAAGTTATAGAGTTCTTGCTCATTGTCTGGGGATAGTCCTTCTTGGAACCCAGGCTCTATTCTGTGAGGAAGCAAGGACCACATGGAGAGAGGAGAGGTGTTTGGCCAACTGACCAGACAAGGTCCCTGCATCACTTGCCAAATCGGTGATGAAGACGCCTTCAGATGACTCCAGTCCCGAGTGATTAAGTCTTTCCCAGGGACCAAATCTCCCCCAGCTTCAAGTCTTCCCAGCCAAGGCCCCAGGCATTGTGTAACAGATGTAAGCTGTCCCCAGGTCTGTCCGAATTCATGACCCACAGAAACGATAAGATAATAAAATGATTTAGGTTTGAAGTCACTGAGCTTTTGGTTGAATTGTCAGGCAGCAACATACATATCCAGAATTTTTGTCTGTCTCTAATATGAAGGTTGGGAGGCTACGGATAAGAAAACCAGAAAGTAAAGTTTTGTTGTCAATTGAGAGGATAAAAATCTGGACAGGAAGAGACACACGAGCAAAGAGCCTTTGCCACACATTTCGCCTTGATTCCTAAATCTAGAACTGGGTTTTCTCCTCACTGATCAAAGGGACCAGGACCTGGCGCTGTATTAGAGTTCTCCAGAGAAACAGAACTAACAGGACAGACAGTTGATCAAAGGACATTTATCACAGAAGTTTATATGGGGATTTATCATGTGATTACAGAGGTCAACAAGTCCCACGATACGCAATCTGCAAGCTGGAGTAGCAAGAAGCTGGTGGTGTGATTCAGTTTGAGTCCAGTGGTCTGAGGACCAGGGCAGCTGATAGTGTTAACTCTGTTTGAGACCAAGGCCTGAGACCTGAGGGCCACTGGTGTTCAGAAGTCTGAAGGCCAAGAACTTGGAGTTCTGATGTCCAAAAGCAATAAGAGATGGATGTTCCAGCTCCCAGTTCCAGATGAGGACTGACATCTTTCCTTACCTTTGTGTTCTATCCGAACCCTGGGTGGATTAGATGATGCTCACCCACGTTGCTGGGGGGAGGGGTCTTCCTTAGTCCATTGATTCACAAGCTAATGTCTTCCAGGAACATCCTGAGAGACGCACCTCAAAGTAACGCGTTATCAGCTCTCTGGGTATTCCTTAACTCTGTAAAGTTGACACCTAAAATTAACCAGCACAACCACCAAAGAATTTTTGTAAATACACGGAACTGACTGATTAGTGACAAGCTAGAACAAACACCAGACAGTAAGAGCAATGCAATGCAGTATACATTCAAATATCAAAATAGTGATCAGAGATATCTGCATTAAGAATTCAGTGAAGGGTGGTCATGTCAGTCACAGCAGCAAGAGGGCAACATGTACTGTTTTGTTATGTCAGGATGAGTGCTGGTCTGGGATTGAAGCCCGTTTCAGTCCATATTTCTGGTCCCTGTGTTTCCTGACCTGTCAAGTTAGGCAAAAACCATAATGTCCTAAATTTGAGAAGCATAAGTGCTTTCAAATGTGAATGATCATTTGGTCCTTGGGTGTGTGTGTGTGTGTGCACGCGCATAGGACAGGAGTGGAGAGAAGAGGTAGACTGTAGTGGTTAGGAGTGTAGACTGCATCAGAAATACCTGATCTGAACCCAGGCTTTTCTTTTTTTGGCAGTCCTGGGGTTTGAACTGAAAGCCTCGCACTTGCTAGGCAGGTGCTCTACCACTTGAGCCACACCTCCAGCCCTTTTTGCTTCAGTTACTTTTTCCGTATGTTTTGTTTTGTTTTTTTTTTTTTTCCCTGTACTGGGGTTTGAACTCAGGGCCTCATGCTTGCTAGGCAGGAACTCTACCACTTGAGCCACACCTCTAGCCCAGTGCTTTAGTTACTTTTTGAACAGGGTCTCACTGTTTATGCCCACACTGGCCTGGACTGTGAACCTCCTATTTATGCTACCTAAGTAGCTGGGATAACAGGTGCACACCACCACACCCAGCTTTTATTGGTTAAGATGGAGGTCTTACAAACTTTTTTTTTTCCTCTGGGACCAGCTTTGAACTGTGATACTCCCGATCTCCATTTCCCAAATAGCCAGGATTACAGGCTTGAGCCACTGCACCCAGTTAAACCCAGGCTTTGAGTAAATTAGTTCAACTTTTTAAGCCTCAATGTCCTTATTGAAAGTGAAGGGTAATAATCAGTATTTCCTTTATGAGTTTGTTATGAAAATTAAATAATAGTGCCCGTAAAATATTTAAGTGTTCAGTAAATGTTGGCTCTTATATTATTAAAAGCTTAATAAATCAGGAAGGACAGAGATTATGATCTATATTTGCTGACTTAAAACTATGATTCTTAGAACCAATATAACAACCGAATATGAGACAGGCAAGTAATATGTCACTCACATTTTGACCTTGAGTAATCTATAATATAGTTCATTTATTTAGTAAATTTAGTAATTTTTTCTTTTTTTTTTTTGTGGTACTGGGGTTTGAACTCAAGGCACTTGAGCCTTATCTCCAGCCCTTTTTTGCTCTGGTTATTTTGGAGATGTGATCTCACTTTTTATCCAGGCTGGCCGGGAACAAAATCCTCCTATTTATAATTCCCACAGTTACTGGAATGACAGACGTGTGATACCAGGCCCACCTTTTCTCTTGAGGTGGGGTCTCATGACCTTTTTTTGCTAGGCTGGACTGGAACTGCACTCCTCCCGATCTCAGCCTCCCATGTAGCTTAGGATGACAGGCGTGCACCATGGCACCCAGCTATTGGTTGAGATTGGATCCCATGAACTATTTGCCTAGGCTGGCCTTGAATTGCTCTACCACTTGAGCCACTCCACCAGCCCTTTTTTCGTGATGGGTTTTTTCGAGATAGACTCACGAACAATTTGCCTGGGCTGGCTTCGAACCGTGATCCACCTGATATCTGCCTCCTGAGGATCACAGGTGTGAGCCACCAGCCCCTGACTTGACATGTCTCTTATGAAATCCTCACAACTACCTATGAGATAGTTCTGTGAAATCAGAAAAGGAAATTGGAGCACAGAGAAATTAAAAAGGAATGATACAAGTAAATTAAGAGAAATACCAAGTTTGGGAAGTCTAGACAGGTAGTCAGGCAGGTAGACAGTTACAGAACCAATGTCTACTCTTCTGTAGAGAAAGACAGGTGGACAGGTGCTTGAATGGCCAGGGGTTTAGACTTGAATCATCTATAAAAAGCGAGTAGTTGGGGTGGGGGGAAGAGAGTAGTTAAAAGCCTTAAGAATGAGTCGCGTGGGGTGGCACATACATGTCTGTAGTCCAGGCACCTAGGAGGCTGAGGCAGAAGGACCACCTGAGCCAGGAGTTTGAGGTCAGCCTGACAACACAGTGAGACTCTGCCTCAAAAAATAAGCTCCCCCAACACAAGAATAAGGAAACAGCTATCAGTGAAGTAAATACAGTGGTAGAGTTTAAATACACGGTGAGCTTAACTTCACTAATTTTGACTATTCATATACAAATAATCATCAATTGTAGGGCATGAAAAATCCCTGGGGCTGGGCACGTCCCCTCAGTGGGCGGACGAGGCACGAGGATCACTTGAGTCCAGGAAGGGTTTTCCTGGCCACTCCACCAGTCCTGTTTTGTTTTGGGTTTTTCAAAAATAGGGTGTTGCAAACTATTTGCTTCAGGCTGGTTTTGAACCCTGACTGTCCTGATCTCTGCCTCCTGAGTAGCCAGGATTACAGGTGTGAGCCATCAGTACCTAGCTAGAGTCCAGGAGTTTTGAGACTAGTCTGGGCAATGTAGCAAGACTTTGAAAAAAAAAAAAATCTGCTTAGTGACCTTCCTGACGTCAGTCTGAAACTGTTATGTTTAAGTGGCTCAGGGGTTGGTGACTTCCGGCATCTGTTTCTGGAGTTCCAGTTTCAACTCCCCTATCAAACACAATTTTCCTCGTACTAACACCGTCTGTGTTTCCTTATAAGGCACCATGGTGTGTGTCTTGTCCAGCCTTTCTTGTTATATACGTTCATTTTGCAAATATGTTTAAGACCTGTCTGTGGGAAAGGCACTATTGCAGGTGTGAGAAGAAGGGATGAACTAAGTTTTTCATGGTCTGTGCCATGTCAAATAGTTCTCAAGCTAGATGACCACATAACCGTAATCCAGTATGCAAAATGTGTGCCCGAAAAAGACAGAGTGCCCTGAGACTCCAGAGAGGAGAGAGCAGAGGTTTCCTACAATTGGAGACATTTAGCTAGGTTTGTCACGTCTAGTTATTTAAAATATGGGAATGTATCTACACACGCACATTCCTTTCAACTAAGAAAGGAATTAAGATTAAGCCGGGCATGGCAGTTCTGTAATGTCAAGAGTCTAGAAATGGAAGCAGGAGGATTGTGAATTTGAGGCCAGCCTCAACTGCATAGTAAGTTTGAGGCCAGCCTGGACTATCTAGTGAGACCCTCTCTCAAAAAGCAAAAGTTTTAAAAATTCATTGATCTAAGGTCTGGAATAGACCTGGAGGGGTTATCTGATTCAAAACCAGATATCCTGGGGTGTGAGGCCCTGGCTTCCATTCTTGGTACCACAAAAACAGAATAGCAGAATCAAGTATCATTATGAGCTCTGTGCACAAGGCAAGACCCAAAGGAGGTGCTTGCTCATGTAGTACTTTCTTAAGTTTAAAAAGTGGTCACAAGATCGCTCGAAGACTTTAGAGGTCTCGTGCCCTGGCCAGATTCACTATGGACCTGTGTGATTTGGTCCTATTGAGTCTCTAATCGCCCAAGTTCATGTGAACTTTCAATCGAGTCACATGGAGAGCCCAGATCCATAGGACTTGGCTGTTTCAAACCAGATTTCTTCTACTGCGTCCTGGCCCGTGTCGAACAATCGCTGTAAGTGCTTCCACCCGGTTTTTGCGGTGATCATGAGATACTCCTTGTTGTCTGGTTGGAGCTGGCAAGAGTATATGGCCATGACAAGCGACTGACTGAAACGACTGCATACGAGCAGAAACAAAGCCCCCCTCTCTTCGGCTGTCAGCGGGACGATGCTCTCAAACCCCGCCAGGACATGCCCTCCTACTTGGACAGGGTCCTTGCTTTCGATCATCATGTACATGATGACGATGGCCACTTCAAACACGTAGTAGCCATAGCTCATGTCACCAAAGTCTAAAATCCCCGACACTTCATACCCGGCATCTCCAAAGGCTGACTTGCTGGGCTCAACTAAAATGTTATGGTCGTTCAGATCACCATGATTGATGCCTATAAGCAGAAAACCAGGCAAAAGCAGTTACTTACGACCCCAGTTCATTGTCTTTTCTGTTCTTTTTTTTCTTTTCTTTTCTTTTTTTTGGGGTCACTGGGGTTTGAACTACTCAGGGACTCACACTTGCTGGGCAAGTGCTCTTAACACTTGAGCCACTCCACCAGCCCTGTTTTTTGTGATGGGTTCTTTTTCGAGATAGGGTTTCAAGACCTGTTATGCTCAGGCTGGCCTCAAACCATAGTCCTCCTGATCTCTGCCTCCTGAGTAGCTAAGGTTACAGGCATGAGCCACTGGTGTCTGGCAAGGCCACTCAGGTAATTTGATGAGCAATCAAAGATAAAGGGCACACCCTATTTTCTTGAACTAAAATAATTTTCTCTGAAAAAGACAAAAGCAGTTAAACTCTGGGTTGTCTTCGTTTTTGCTTCTCATTGGTACATAACCAAAAAATGCAGACTGGAACCACTCTGCAAATGCCAACAAGATGTGCTGGAAAGCAGAAATGTCTGAGAAGGACACAAACACACTCATCCTGTCATCAGAAGCAGAGTCCTAGAATGGGCTGCATGTGCCTTTACTGACAGCTAGGATTTCCAAAAAAGTGGTTTTGGTGACAGGGTAATTCTGAATGTCCCAAAGTATTTTCGATTAGCGGGAAAGACACTGAGAGTATTTTAAGTCAGTACTACTCAGCGTAGGACCAATGCTGGCCCACAAATGTTGCTATTCTCTAGGAGATAAGAACAGAAACAGTGTTTGGAAAATTTTATAGCAGTCTGACGTCTGACAGCACTATCTGCAGCCTTGTCTCACTGAACAGAGTACATGCCACTTTGAGGGTTTTTTCTTTGTTTTTGGTTTGGTTTTTGGCAGGATTTGAATGCAGGGTCTCAGCAAGCACTCTGCCATCTGAGCCATGTCTCTGGCCTCCCCTCCCCCACTTTTTGCTTTTTTGGCCATTTTTTCAGAGGAGTCTTGCTTTTTGCCTGAGCTGAACTGGGACTGCAATCCTCCTTCCTATGCTTCCCATGTAGCTTGGATGACATGTGTGTGCCACCATGCCCCAGCTCATTTGTTGAGATGGGGTCTCACTAACCTTTTGCCCTCGAACCCCAATCCTCCTGATTTCCACCTTCCAGGTAGCTGGGATTCCAGGCATGAGACACTACATCCAGCTAATTTGAGTTTTTCTTACATGTGGTATGAGCTGAAAACTAATTATGCATGGTAGAACAATGTATCAGACTGTAATGGGTTATTTAAAAAAAAACAACCCACATTTGTCTTTGACCATAGATAGTTTGAGAAGCATTGATTTCATTTTCAACCATTGACAGGATTAGGTCGAGATTAGTTTGTCCACAAGCAGTGAACTAGAGTTACATACTTTATTATAAGTAGGTGATATAAAATGCATAATATTAATTTCAAAATATGTCAATTTCTTCCATACGATGTAGGATTATGCAAATCATGCTTAATACAGCACACTGTGATAATATCAGTGAATATTCTGGTGATCATATGTTTTAAACTACACACTTCTGAAATTGGGACGTATCATAAAATTGATTCAAAATTTACAGGTATGAAAGCAGAGTAATAAAATCCATTAAAATCATAAAAATGGAGATAAGAGAGTAATAGAGGGGTGAATATGATAAAAAATAAATAGCAAAATTTGACAGACAAGCAAAAACTAGATAATATACAAACATAGGGAAAGATTTAATACGTAATAACTGCTAGAATAAGCAAACAAACACAGTAAGTAAAAGCTATGGAAAATTTGAACGTGACTAACAAACTTGACTTAATGGTATATATATATATATATAACTCCATACCCAACAACTGCAGACTTGACTTCTATTAAGCATACATGAGCTACTTATCAAAATTTACCAAATGTCACATCGTAAAGATTTAAATAATTCAGCACACAGTAAATCTCATCTTTGATCTGTTCTATTCAGTAGCAGCTTGCCACATGCAGACATTTAAACTCATTAAGATGAAATAAAATTGGCTGGTGTAGTGGCTCAAGTGGTAAGAGAGCCTGCTTAGCAAGCATGAGGCCCTGAGTTCAAATCCCAGTGATGCCAAAAAAAAAAAAAAAAACAATTGAGTGTCCAGTTCCTAGTTGTACTACTGTATCAGACAAGGCAGAGGGAGAGGCCTTCTCTCCTGGAACAGAATTCTAGTGGACAATAGCGATATGGAGTGTGCTCTGTAAATACAGCAATTAAGCAGAAATCAATACAAAGGTATCTAAAAAGCTCATCTGATTTGGGGGAAAGGGATTTACATTTCTAGATAGCCATGGGTGAAAAGAAGACATTCCAAACTGGTGGCTCACACCTGTCATCCTAGCTACTCAGGAGGCAGAGATCAGGAGGCTCACAGTTTGAAGCCAGCCCAGGCAAATAGTTTGAGAGACCCTATTTAAAAAACCCATCACAAAAAAGGGCTGGTGGAGTGGCTCAAGGTGTAGGCCCTGAGTTCAAACCCCAGTACCGCAAAAATAAATAAATAAATAAATAAATACTGAGTAAAATGCCTATTTGACAGGGGAGTACTTACATTCTCGAAAATGACCAAATTTGGTCATGACCTGTTCCTTGAACAGCTGGATGACTTTCTCCACAATCTCCCGATTTCGAGTCTGGCCTAAGACGTCTACGTGTCTCTCCAGGAGAGGAATGTTCTTCAGATTCCAGATGAAGTTGTCCCGACGAAGAACACTTAGCTTTGGGTGATGGAATTTCTAAATCAGAAGGAAGAAGTTACCTCTTCAGTCAGAATACCCACCACTGAGAGGTCTGCTGAGGGTGGGATTGTCCCATCCAAAGTGGCCTCAGGGAGACTGCCAGTACTTTCCATGGTCAGTGACCGGCCCCATGTACAATAATCTACAAAGTATACTGGTGTGGCACATGCTTGTAATCCCAGCACTCAGGAGGCAGAGGTCGGACAACCATGAGTAGAGGACAGCCTGGTCTACAAAGTAAGACCCTGTCTCTCAAAAAAAAAAAAAATCCAGAAAACATTAAGCTGTTCATATTTATGCAGAACACAGTTTGGGGAGCACAGTCCCATCTCACCCAATCCTCATTACTGTGTGAAGATGAGTGCTGTCATCCACGGCTTACAAAAGGATTGGGCCAGGTGCTGGTGGCTGACGCCTGTAATCCTATTTACTTGGGAGGCTGAGATCAGGAGACTCGTGGTTCAATGCCAGCCAGGGCAAATAGTTCTCAAGACCCCAACTCCAAAATGACCAGAGCAAAATGGACTGGAGGTGTGGCTCAAGCAGTAGAGCACCTGCTTTTCCTGAACCTGCCTTTGAGTGCAAAGCCCTGAGTTCAAACCCCAGTCCCACCAAAAAAAAAAAAAAATTTAAATTTAAAAAGGAATTGGACACAGCTATGGAGAATTGTTTTCCCCACATAATCTGAGCCTCCTCTCATTACCACTCTCACTTCATCTTCTACTTCTGCTCACTTGACTCCAACTGCACCAGCCTCCCTGCCGTCCAGGAGCTCATGGCCTTGGTTTCTGTCTCTTCCTCCTGGGATCTCTTTCTTGCACATCCATCTGGGCAGTGCCATCAGGTCCACCAGGCCTTCACTCAAAACAACACCTGCTCTTCAAGGACTTCCCAGTAGATCCAATCACAACTTCAACCCCTTGCCAGTGTTTCCTAGTCCTCTTTTACAGAACACGTCTCATGGGGGGGGGGACTGCTCCCCTACTGTGTTCATCCTTTTGCTGAGGTAGAATCTGCCTCTCCAATCATCCACGCCACAGTTCCAACCCTGACCTCTGGGGCCATCCAGGACAGGATTAGTCATTGTCCTGGTGACTATCCTCTCGACCTTTGAAGATGGCTTTCCTGCCCCTCCGTCTTCTCTTCTGCAGATCAGACTGCAGAGCTCCTCCAACTACTCCTCAGAGGACATGGTTTTCAGTCTCCTGCCCAGTGGTGTGTTAAACACTACTGAGTATCACAGACACACTCTGAAAACATCGAAAACACCGTGGGGGTGGTTCCTTATGGGAGGGGGATTGTCACTAGGAATGGAGAGGATAGTGGAGAGAGAATTTTCACATTTTACACTGAATAATACTGAAAATTTACCATGTACATGTTACTTTTTTTTTTTTTTTTGGCGGTACAGGAGTTTGAACTTAGGGCCTCACACTTGCTAGGCAGGTGCTCTACCACTTGAGCCACTTCACCAACCCTTTTTTGTGATGGGTTTTTTTGAGATATGGTCTCACAAACTATTTACCTGGGCTGGCTTTGAACCGTGATCCTCCTGATTTCTGCCTCCTGAACAGCTGGGATTTACAGGTGTGAGCCACCAGCGCCTGGTCATATGTGTTGTTTTTTTATCTTTTTTTTTTTTTTTTGGTGGTGGTAATGGGGTTTGAACTCAGGGCTTTGCACTTGCAAGGTACTCTACTGCTTGGGCCACAACTCCAGCCCACTGAAGGATTTTCTTAATCATAAGAAAATGGGGTATTTCTATTTGGGGATAACAGGATAAATTAATATGATTCAGAATATAACATGGACATGAGTTTCTGCCCAAGAGGGAATAATAGGGCCCAGGTTTACCCTACTGCCTAAAAAAGCTAAAACACTGAACAAAATATATGAAATACCAGTGCTTAAGTCATTTGATATTAGGCCATGAGGAAAGTGATTCCTGAGAGATGAAAGACAATCAAAGTAAATTGAGAGAACAATGCAGATGGAAGACCATGCAGAGCCCAGTCAGTTCTCTAAGTTGAGGTGGTAGAGCTTAGAGTCCAGGAAGACCAAGGCAGCTAGAGTTTGCAGGACAGATTGCTAAAGATCTGCAATAGAGAGAAGAGGCCAGATGTCAGTGACTCTTGCCTGTCATCCTAGCTACTTGGGAGGCTGAGATGGGGAAGATCATGACTCAAGGCCAGATTGGGCAAATAATTCATGAAACTCCACCTCCAAAATCACAAGAATAAAATAGACTGAGGGTAGGGCTCAAGTGGTAGATTACTTGCTTTTCAAGTGCAAAGCTGAGTTCAAACCCCAGTCTTACCAAAATAAATAGATAAAACATAAAGAGAGAGAGAAAAAAAAACACCAGGGATCTGTGGCAGGTAACCCTTGAGAACTTGGCAGGTGGGTGATGATCCACATATGAATATGAGGAAACTGCTCAAAGCCAGGAGAAGAGATTCGCAGGGATAATATTTGAGACAGGAATAGTACCTGCTCCAACAACTACACTAGAAAATCCAGTTAACAGGACATTGGGCAGACTTCAGAAGGTCTTGTATTAGCAGTGGGAAAACCCAGTCCTGGTCCCACCTATCAGGTGATAAAAGCAATATCCAAAGGGTCTAACTGCTTCCAACCAACCTAAGTATATCTATTTAAGGAAGTTTGGTGAACATCAAGTATAAGAAATATGAAGAAGCTGAATGTGGTGGCACACCCCTGTAATCCCAGCACTCAGCAGGCTGAGACAGGAGGATCAACAGGTCAAGGTCAGCCTCGGCTACATGCAAGACCTTATCTCAAAACAAAACAAGAAGAAAGAAGAAAGAAGACTAAGGAAGAGGAGGAGGAGGAGGAGGAAGGAGGAGGAAGAAGAAGTAGTAGTAGTAGTAAATGGCCTAAATATCCCAACTAAAGGGAAAAGACTGTTAGATTATCTGTGTTTTTTTTTTTTAAGTCAGGGTCTCACTATGTCGCCTAGGCTAATCCTCCTGCTGAACTTCCCAAGCAAGACCCAGCAGCTGTGGTGGCTCACACCTATAATTCAGGAGAATCTCAGTTCTAAGCCAGCCCGGGCAAATAGTTCGAGAGACCCTATCTTGAAAACACCCAACACAAAAAAGGACTGGTAAAGTGGCTCAAGTGGTAGATCACCTGCCTGGCAAGTGCAAGGCCCTAAGTTCAAACCCCAGTATCTCCAAAATAAATAAGCAAATTAAAAAAAATAAATGCAAGACCCAAACAGATGCTTCTTTCAAGAAACACACTTTAAATGTAAAGATTGCAATATAAAGAAGCAAATCTTTTTTTAAATTAATTCCCAAAATCACATCACTGGGATTGAGAGAATTAAAAATTCCCCAAGTCTCATTGTTAAAGTGTCCACAGTCCTGTCTAATCCCTAACTCCTGTCAGGGCTGTACCCTACTTCTCTCTCTGAAGGTCCCACCGGATAGAAAAGAAACTGTGGACAGAGCAGGGTTTGGAAGCAGTCGGGCTGATTTTGGCAGCCACCAGAGGAGCCCAAAGTGAACTGAGTAAGGCTGAACTGTTTTCCTGTGCCGCAAATGCAGGGACATCATATCTCCTGGACCCCACTTCTGATCTTTCCTCCCCTGCTTCCTTCATTTCCTCACTCCAGGCTATGGAAGCTACCCACGGTGACACCAGGGAGTGCCCTCCCTGCTTTAGGATGGGCTGTGTCCCAGCAAGCACAGGTTAGAAACTCTCTTGCTCAGCCCCTCCATCTCATAACACTAACATTAAATGGATCACTGAGTCTAGTTGGCTCTGTCTCCTAAATAGAGCTTGAACTTTTCCCTGGACCAAGTCCTCAATCAACTTCACCATTTTCAAATTAGCTTCCTGGACACACTCCTGCCTCCAGGCTGGCTTCCTGCCAATCTATCCATCTATTGGCTGCCAGAGTGATACAACTAGAGAGCTTTGCCTATTAAAAACTCCCAAGGCCCCCCACTGCCTGTAAGACAAAGTTCAAACTCCTTGCTATCATATGGTGTTTTGAGGTTTTTTTTGTAATCTGACAACACCTTATGTTTTTAACGTCATCCCCTGCCTCACCCAACCATACCCTTCCACTCCAAGCACAATGAATTATCCAGAGGTTCTAGAATCTGGTCATTGTACTGCTGCGATTTTTCATGCATTTTTTCCTTCAGCTGGAATGCCCTGCCTCTTTTTCTCTACTTGACTGATACACTCCTAACTTAAGAACCAACTCAGCCCTTGTATCCTCATATATATGTTTGACACTGATAAATTCCAAGAATAAAAGATGAATAAATAAAACAGACAGTGTTCTCAGGAAGCTCACTTATTCTTATGAAGTCTGTGTAACAGGAATCAGGGACACGAAACAAGTAATTGTAATACTTTGTGGTAGACCCTTACCCTGAGCTATGCCTCCTGGTTCGTGTCCTGCTGTAGCTTCTCCAGCTGACTTTAGGATTAGCCAGCCTTTGGCCAGTGGAACGTTAGCTAGCATGACCAAAGCAGAGGCTTGATAAGGCCTTCTGGAACTCTCTTGGAAGCCGGCAGTAATATTGTAAGGATGCTCAGGTGAAGGACAAGACACCGTGGAAAGAGAAGATGTAACTGGGTCTTAAAAGCTGCTTTTGCTGAGGAGCAGTGACTCCTGACTCGGACCCACGAATTAACTAAGGAAACAGCTAGAGGACTGCACCTCCTCTTTTCCATAGAAATGGAAGGAAAAAATTGATAGAGGGGAAAATGTAACCAGGACCACAAAAGGGAGACCTTTTAGTGTAGCCAGCTTGCATGCTGGCCAGTTTATTCTGTTTGTTAATTAAACTGACATTCTTTTCTTCTTTGTCTACATGCTGGAGAGTCCAAAGTTAACTCCCTTTACCAATTAAACCAGGCAGCCTTCTACCCCTTCTCTCTCTGACCACCAGAGAGGTAATCAGTCAGCCATGACATACAGCTTTGGAGATGTGGTGCCAGACACCTGAACTAAGGCCAACAGCCATTGTGGACATGCATTTCGTCACGTAGTCAATCTGAGCCCCTGAGCTCCCCTTTAAAAAGTGGACGTTTTCTCTCAGAAGTGGGACAGCAGAGTTTTGAGAGGTTGATTCTCCCTGTCTTCTTCTTCATCCGACAAATAATAAATCTTATTTCCTTTTCCTAAAAACCCTGCTCTCATTATCTGCGAATTGGCATTGAGGCTAGGGGACCAGCTTTCTGGTAAGAAACGAGTCACATGGAGAAGAACTACAGCATCCTTGTGGGACCCCCCTAGTGAAATTCAGCTGCAGGAGAGAATCCCAGTCAGACTCAGCAGAGGAGAGTCACCTGGTCAACCCAAGAATCATGAGAAATAAATCATTATTTAAGTCAGTAAGACTGGGGATGATTTTTGCATAGCAACTGACAATTAGAACTCAATGAATATTTATTGAATAAATGAAGATGCTTTCTGTTTGGATCTGCAAAATACATGTCAAGCATGGTATTGATCCCATGGGACAAAAATGTCCTTAACACAAGTCATTCTAGTCCATTGCTTCACACAGATCTCCAAAATATTACACCTTATGTAGATGAAAACGTCAGATTTCCATCTGTGAGCACAAACTAAAGAATATAAGGAATTTCTAAAAATGAAGGTAATCTTGCCAATGTGTCAGGAAGTACAGACCTGCTGATGGTAGCCTTCCTATCATAGAATTCATGCATCTAGAACCCTCTTGCCTTCACAATATACCTTAGGAAGCATTACATATAAAAAGAAGGACCAGGCGCCAGTGGCTCACTCCTGTAATCCTACCTGCTCAGGAAGCAGAGATCAGGAGGATCACAGTTCAAAGCCAACCCAGGCAGATGGTTCGAAGAGACCCTATCTCGAAAAAAAACCCATCACAAAAATAAGGCTGGCAGAGGGGTTCAAGTGATAGAGCACTTGCCTAGCAAGTGGAAAGCCCTGAATTCAAAACCCAGTACCAAAAAAAAAAAAAAAAAGATGTGTTCCTCAGTTTATTTAGAAGATAAGATAAAATAAGACCCTAAATCTTACCTCCAGCGTTTTATCCAGCTTGGCAGCTAATCTTCCAATTTCATATAAGAGCTGCGAGCTCACAGGGACCTCAGCTATGGGTCGTCCTGGGAGGTAAGTGAGCAGCCTCACCGTGTGGCTTCTGATTTCAGATCCACTGTCTAGATGGGTGAAAGGACACATCTTGTCAGCTATTCTTGAAAAAGTAATCAGAAGCCAGGTGCCAGTGGCTCACACCTATAATCCTAGCTACTTGGGAGGCTGAAATCAGGAGTACTGAGGTTCGAGGCCAGCCCAGGCAAATAGTTCATGAGACCTCCATCTCCAAAATAACCGGAGTAAAATGTACTAGAAGTATGGCTCAAGCAGTAGAGCACCTGCTTTGCAAATGTGAAGCCCTGAGTTCAAACCCCAGTCCCATCAAAAAAAAGTAATCAAAAGTTATTCAATTATTACTGAAAAGAAAGGAAATTACAGAAGAGAAAAAAATGTGCTAATTTAAAACAACTCTGCAGTACTCTTTAAGGCAGGGCTGAGTGGCTCAAAGAAAGACAAACCTTAACATTCAAATTGGCCATTTACAGAACTACAAACATAGCTCCAATTCTGCTGGACTTAGCTGTAAGCAGAAATTACCTACTACGATAAATGAGTGTCTAAAATCCCCACTCTTTTACCAGCTTACAACATGGAAAATTGCAGGCTTTTCAAGGGCAAACTGGGGGGCCAGCCTGTGTCTTCAATACAGGACAAGGTCTATTCTTCAGGGGTCAGTCACTTGGAGCGGTGCAAATCAAGAATGAATGAACAATAAGGAAAGAAAAAGACAGTTGAGATCTTAAACCTTAAAAAATTCCAAGAAACCGGCTGGGGGCCGGTGACTCACACCTGTAATCCTAGCTACTCAGGAGGCAGAGATCAGGAGGATCATGGTTTGAAGCCAGCTTGGGCAAATAGTTCATGAGACCCTATCTCAAAAACACCCATCACAAAAATGGGCTGGTAGAGTGGCTCAAGGTGTAAGCCCTGAGTTCAAACCCCAGTACTGCAAAAAATAAAATAAAATAAAAATATTCCAAGAAACTGGTTTCAAGCTACTGCTTGTTTACTTAGATCTACCTTAGCATTTAGTATTAGAGGGGAAAGGGACCAAGTCCCACAGATAAGGACTTGTAGACTTGGGAATTTAAGTGGTGTGCCCAACCTCACGTAGACAGTAATGACAGAAATGAGTTCTAAAACTTCTGATTTCTACTTTTGTGTTCTTTCTACTATACTACAGCACCAGAAGCTACAGCTGGCATGATAACTATGAATATTTAATATTTAACTCACTGATGCAGCACTGGCCTCGTGTGTGGAAGGCCCCGGGTTCCATCTCCAATGCTACAAAAAGTAGAAGATGGGTGTGGTGCAACTACTGGGGAGGTAGAGATTAGGAGATTGGGAGGATCACAGCTTGAGGTCAGCCCTGGTAAAAAGTTAGCAAGACCCCATCTCAACAAAAATGGAAGACCCTATCTGAAAAATGAAAGCAAAAAGGGCTGCAGGCATGGCTTAATTGGTAGAGACCCTGCCTAGCATGTGTGAGGCCTTTAGTTCAAACCCCAGTCCTGCTACCAAAACAAAAAATAATGTTAAATAAAACCAAAGCACGTTCCTCTGATTTGCACAGGTCCCCTTGGTTACTATCCATTAGGGCCTTTCTGAGTGGAAAAGTTACACTAGACCCCAGCTCGAAACACTTCCAAATCAGAGGCCCAGCCTCCACTCTGGTGATACTGTGACCTCTCCCAACCACTGAAAAAATACTCACATCTCCACTTGGAATTAGGAACTTGGTTTGTTTTACTTTGTGGGACTAGAGTTTGAACCCAGAGCTTTACACTTACAAAGTAGGCACTCTACTGCTTGAACCACTATTCCCGTCCATTCTGCTCTGGCATTTTCAAGATAGGATCTCTCAAACTATTTGCCAGAGCTGGCCTCAAACCTCGATCCTCCTGATCTCAGCCCCCCCAAGTAGCTAGGATTACAGGTGTGAGCCATCAGTGTCCGGCTAGGAACTTATTCTTAACACTGTATTTCTACCCATAGCCAAAGTGCGGTAATGTGAGTGGGTAGGTGACAGACTGACAAGCCGGCTGTCTCTTACCTACGGACACCAGAGAAGTCGTGTTGTCCCCTTTTGTGTGGCACACGGAGGCCGTTGGGAAGCCAGCCGCTTGAAGAAACGTGATGACGTCATTCTGTATTTCAAGCAGGTCTGAATTTTGGCTGTTCTCCGAGCTGCTTATTTTGAGGACATATTCAAGTGGGCCATCAGTAGTGTCTTTGGTTCTTGAAATGTGAACGTGAAAGTTTTGGTCATCATAGCTAGGAAGCGGCTGGATGTGAGAGACTTTGAACCCGAATACCGATTCTACCAAGGCAGAGGCCTGCAGCTCCGTGAAAGTGGGTTTGTTCAAAGCCCGAGACTGTTGATTATCTCCACTGGACATTATGTCTGGGGAAAAAACAAGAGCCCAGGAGGGAACATACAACATGGATGTTCATTTCAGTAGTTTCTTCTCAAGACACACACTGTTTCTGTAAATTGATTTTATACTTCTTTTGATTATGAATTTTTACTCATAAAGTTTAAAAAAATAGAATCAGTGAATGAGAGCAAGAAGTAGATGTTTTGGCAGGTGAATAAAAATTCTTATACAAATTATTTTTAAATTTACCTCTCAAACTGAAGATTTAGACCCAGGGACAGGCACAGACCAAAAAAGCACCCAATCCTCTTCTGATGATCAACTTTACAGGGGAAATGTGGGTCCCAAGAGACTAAGTGGCATGCCTGAAGTTACACAGTGAGTTATACTAAGAACTCCAGACTCCTAGTTCATGATTATGTACTCTGACTATGTTACTGCCAGGCTGGGCATGGTGGTGCAGTCTATAATCTCAGCTACTTGGGTGACAGAAATAGAAGGATCATGGTTTAAGGCCAGCCCAGGCCAAAAGTTAGCAAGACCCTATGTTAAAAAATAAGCTGGGGGCTGTCAGTGTGGCTTAAGTAGTAAAGAGCCTGCTTAGCAAGTGTGAGACCCTGAGTTCAAACCCCAGTACCACCAAAAATAAATAAAGTAAAATAAAATTAAAAAAAAAAACGAAAAAGAAAAAAACCCATCACAAAAAAGGGCTGGTAGAGTGGCTCAAGGTGTAATCTCTGAGTTCAGGGCCCAGGCTGGCCTTGCAACTTGATCATTCCGATCTCAGTCTCCCAAGTAGTTAGGATTATAGGCATGAGCCACCAGCACCCAGCTAGGAAGCTGTTCTTGAGAAAATGGATCTCAATGATGGTGCTGAGGGTGAGTTGAGTAGATGGGGGTGGGGAAGATGGTTTTACTCAGGGCCTTTCACCTTGAGCCACTCCACCAGCCCTTTTTTGTGAAAGGTTTTTTCAAGATAGGATCTCAGGAACTATTTGCCCAGGCTGGCTTTGAACCTTGATCCTCCTGATCTCTGCCTTCTGAGTAGCTAGGATTACAGGCGTGAGCCACCGGTGCCTGGCGGCTTTCTTTCCTTTGTTGGTTCCTTCCTCAGCTGCACATAGCTGGTTCGTGTCCTCAGCATCTCGGCACATCCCAGGGTCGAGCTCCAGACATCTTCCAGGATCCACATATTTAAAGTTACAATTTCACCTTCCTCTTTTCCCAAAACAGGACCCGATTGCAATTTCTGTTCAGAGGATATAGTGTTAGATAAAATGAATTTCACAACAGCTTTGTTGCTTCTGGCAAGGAAGGGGCATGAAGGAACCACCTGAAAAGAAAATTTTTCACATTTTGCTTTTTAAAAATTTATGGGGCTGGGGATCCAACTTAGGGCCTTGCACATGCTAGGCAAGTGGCTACCTGTTTTGTTTTTTGACACAGGGTCTCTCTATGTAGCCCAGGCTGGCCTCAAATTCACCCTCCTCCAGGCTTAGCCTCCCCAAATGCTTGGATTACAGGTATGCATCACCACACCTAGCCTGTTCAGCCCCATATCTGTCAATCTCACTGAATATAAATTTTACCTTAAAAAGTTTACAACCAGGCATGGTAGCTCAAGCCTATAATCTTAGCTACTTGGAAGTCTGAGATCAGCCTGTTTCACAGCCAGACTTAGCAAAAAGTTCACAAGACCCCTTCTCAGCCAATAGATGGACACAGGGGTGCACACCTGTCATTCCCAATCAGGAGGATCGGGGTTCCAGGCAAGCCCAGGCAAAAAAGTTCATGAGACCCCCATCTCAACAGAAGTGGCATGTATCTGTCATTACAGCTAAGGCAGGAATAGGAAGATTGAGGTTCAGGCCAGCCTGGGCAAAAAGGGAGACCCAATCTCCAGAATAACCAACCCAAAAAGAGATGGGGGAGTGGCTCAAATGGTAGGGTGCCTGCCTAGCAAGTGCAAGGCCCTGAGTTCAAACCGTGGTACTAACAAAACCCCTGAAAGTCAGCCCTGGTGAGACATTGGCTAGGGCAAGGAGGGAGAAATCTTAGAATTTTCTCAGAGTTCCCCACATCAGATCACATACCTCTATACTGTTTAGTCACTTCTGCCCTATCACCGTAAAAGCCCAGCTGACTCCGCTGAAGGGAAGGGGCGAAACCTCAGGGGTTTTTCTACAAGACTGTCCCTGCCTCAGCCCCAAGGTAACTCCAGAAATGAGAATATCATTTCCTATCCAAAGTAATCTCACACTCTACACTCACATAGCCTACATGGCACTGGTGGTGTCCACACCTGTTAAAATGACTGCATTCTTCACAGTCACTTCTCTTGTTTACTTTTGACCACAGAATTTGCTTTCAGAAGCAAATTAAGCTGTTAAGCTTTTGTTCACTATAGATTGTCACAAAGCTTAAAAAGGATTTCAAAAGAATCTCTACACCTGAAACTTCTGGGAACCAATATATCCTTTCACACTATTTTGAGGCTTAAGACTTTACAAGGAATTTTAACATCCCTTCTGTAGATATAGAAACAGGTGTAAGTCCAGTATGCAGAATGTAATATGAACTAAAGCATTAACTCCAAATGAACTCCCAAAGCACTAAGGAAATCAGAATATTTCTGAAGTTGATATGAATCTTAGTTCTTAAGGTTGAAAGGTATCTTAAGGGCAATTTCTTCCTTCTGGTCCAGAAAACGTTCTGCATAGGGGCTTATTAAGCATCAATTTGAAGAATCTTGTTTTCTTTCTTCCTTTTTTTTTTTTGTGGGACCTGGATTTGAACTCAGGCCTTCACACTTGCAAAGCAGACGCTCTACCACTTGAGCCATTCCATCAGCCCTGTTTTCTAAAACAGGGTAAGGCACTGTTGGCAGGACTGCCCACCAAGGCCAGCCTGATGTTTTAAAAAGTTGCTGAGCTGTGGGAAATAAGTCATAATTAACCCTAGTTCTCCTACCACACCTTTGAAACTTTGGCCTAGCCACATATTCTCTAAAAGAAGGCTGGATAAGACCATCCCTCGTTCTAACACCCTATGCTGCCAACGGTCACTATTTTTTAACTTACTTTGCCTTTTTCTCTGAACACGATGGACTCCAAATCATGTAAGCAATAGCACAGATCAAGTCTGGCTTCTTTCTTTCGTTCGTTCTTTTTTCGGTACTGGGGCTTGAACTCAGAGCCTACACCTTGAACCACTCCACCAGACCTTTTTTATGATGGCTTTTTCCGAGATACGATCTTGCAAACTATTTTCCTCCCCCGGCTGGCTTGGAACCCCAACCTGATCTCTGCTTCCTGAGTAGCTGGGATTACAGTGAGCCACCGGCGCCCGGCTTTCATGTCTGCTCTTCACAGTAAATACATACATAGGAAGACGTGTGTTAATCAGAGATCTGCAAACAATGTATGCACATATGAATAAATGAATAAAGGAAAAAAAGATCAGAGATCTGTCTGAACCAACTGCGGAGGTTGCTGGTCTGTATTTCCTGCCTGAAAACCCCTCAGGAAACAAGTGTTGCCAACCCCAAGGTTAGTGCCAGAACTCACAATCTTTGTCCCACACCGGGAGGCTGGACCTTCAACCCTGCCCTGCCTGAAGGTGCACTGCACAAGAACCAGGAGCCAGCCTGAATGCTTTACTCTCCCTCCTCCCCGCCCACCGAGGGTTACAAAGTCCGGGGACTGTACTTGGCACGTCCTCCAAACCTACCTTTCTTCTGCTGTGTGCATCCAAGGTTGGAAACCCAGCACCTGACCAGGTGCCTTACCCAGTAATAAATAATGATTAACATTGATCGCTTCATTCCACAGGTGCACGGGTCGTTCCCCCTCAAGGGGACCAGGGAATCTAGGGCTCCTGTGTTGCAGACAGTCCCAGGCTTAGGACTCCCGCGCCCCAGATTCGCAACCGGGGCTCTCCCCTGCCTTCCCCTCCTCCGCTCACCCGCCACGGTCCGACGTCCAGACCCGAACCCGCTATCCCGCAGCCCAGCACTCCGGCTGCAGCCGCGCAAGGAGGTGATGTCAAGGGCGGGCGCCTAGATCCTAGGAGGCGCCAAGCCCCGCGGGCCGCGACTTCTGATTGGCTCCTCTCATCCTCGCGGCGCAATCAGCGCACACTACTGGAAGGCCCGGCTTGGCTCGCGCAGGAGGACTTCGCCCCGCCCCGCCCCAGGGACTCCACACAAAACGTCAGAGATAGCGCTTTTGATTGGTTGCCTGCCACCCTGCTCCCGCCTCCTCTCGGCGAGTACCCCAGTCAGAATTTGGCTACCATCGCGTCGCTGGAACTCTTGTTTTTGATTGGCTCTCCGAGGTTCCACCCTACGGCGAGTACCCATTTAGCTAGCTTTGGACCCCTGTCCGTTCCGCCCCTTGCGCGTTTGTGGCTGCGACTTGGACCTTCTCAAGATTCCTAAGTGTCTCGATAGAGCTCGTGTCCTCGTTTTCTTTCTTCACGCTCTGTCCTCCTCTTGCTGGGAGCGCACTTCGAAAAGTGCTGCCCGAAGTGACCCCGGGAATTGCAAGGGTCCCCAATGGAGGTCCTCAGAGTCCACGGGGGACCTAGCGCTGCCTGGATCCTCGGAGGTTCGAACCCCGAACGGTGTTGTTTGTTAATTAGGCCTCCATTTGTCCTTGTACTGAGAGAAATCTGAAGCTCAGAGGGCACAGAGCCCTACCAGACCCTAGTTTCCCAGCTCCCACTCTCTAACTCCCTATGGGAGATGTCCAGGGGGAGCCAAGGCGGCCCCGACCCCCAGGCTTCCTGGAGGTAACGGTTAGGGTGATCGCACGACCCCTTTACACGGAGAAACAGACCTTGCAATGGAGTGAGATTCCTTATTTAGATTGCGCAATGGGTGGGAGGCTGCAGGAATCCCGGGACTCCTGCCATACACGTCAGTGAGATGGTCTTAATGCCAAGGGCAGAGGCGCAGATGGCGTCCCGCCCTTCTCCAGCCAGCAGGGCTTCTCTGCTAGGTCAGCGGGCTCTTCTGCCAGAGTTCTGGACACCCCGCACTCCCGCCTGAAATGCCGTCCCCCGCCCCGCTCCCCCCCACCAACCCTCCCTTTTGCTTTACCTGGCAGGACACAACACACGCAGGTTATCTATAGTGACCCTGATTGACTCGGATGTTTCCCAGATCCCTGCCAACCACCCCTTTGATGTGGGTTTTTATCTTTTCACTTCTAATCTCCAAGAAGGGCTATAAAAATACAGTGCTTGAGTGACATACTTGATCATCAGTGTTTAGGTTGTCAGGGGAACTGTGACTTGATTTCCTGTAACCAGAATTGGAGTACTATTCAATCTTTTTGTTGTTGAGACAGGGTCTCCCTATTAAGCCACGCTGGCCTCGATGTTGAGATCCTACTCCCTCAGCCTCCAGAGTGCTGGGATTACGAAGTGCACTATACCAACACCCGGCCAGAATCAGAATCTTATCTACGTGCTGTTGCCTAGGCACTACCTTCTCTTACTATGCTGTTGGTCATTTTATCCTCTTGGGATGAAAGAATGAGAATTGGATCTGGAAATTGTGAGACGCCAAGAGACAGGACTACTAGGTCCACAACTGCCTTCTTTGATATGCATCCCAATTTCCACTCTTTAGGCTTTATTCATAAATATTGTTCCTTGGCCATGTGTAGTGGTGAATGCCTGTAATGCCTTTGAAGGCAGACACAGGGGGCTCTTGGTTCCAGAAAGGCCTGGACAGAAAGAGACCATATCTCAAAAAAACTCTGGTATGAACACTTGCAGTCCAATCTTCTCAGGAGGCAGAATTAGTGTCCGTGGCTGATTTTGGCAAAGGCATGGTACCCTATCTGGAAAACAAACTAAAAAGACTCTATGATGGGGCATAGCTCAGTTCCCAGAACCTAAGAAAACAGATTAAAAAAAAAAAAGTGCCCATTTTTTTTAATGCCCCCAGCAGTACATGGTGGCACACACCTGTAATCCCAGCACTTGGGAGGCAGAGGCAGGAGGATCTGAAGTTTGAGGGTAGCCTGGGCTACATAGTTAGATCCTACATAGTGGAATCCTGCACCAAAAAAAAAAAAAAAAAAATGTGTATATATGTATATACATATATATGCACATATATATATATATACACTCACATATAAATCTTTTGTGCATCTTAATGTATAGGTCAAAATGTTGGGTCATACTATGTGGTCTAAGAGACTGACCTTTTAAGGCTTGTTAGACATACTGTGAGGTCATGTTTTCCTCAACTGTTTGTCAACTTTGGATATCATGATTAAAAACTTCGAACTAAGACAAGAAATATCTTAACATTTTACTTTTCCACCGAGCCACTGGGGCACTTCAAGCAGTGGCTCTGAGTGCAGTGATCAAAGCTGGAGTGAAACAAAAATGAACAATTTGCAGAGTGAGATTACAGACCCAATTTTATACCATAAACAATGTCCTGGAGGGACATGGGGCTGGAGGTGTAGGTTTATAGCATGTGTTTGGCGCATCCAAGGCCCTGGGTCCAATCCCAAGCACCAAAACACTGTCCCTGAACACGTGTTATAGTCTAATATTTTGGAAACTTTAGCCAAACGACTCACATCAAAACAATGAAGTTGGGCTGGCACAGTCGTTCATGTTGTAGAGTGCCTGTCTAGCAGCAGGAGGCCAAGTTCAAACCCCAGTGCTGCAAAAAAAAAAAAAAAACTTCAGTGAACGAGATGGACTGCCTGGCAGCATACAGTCTCCATCTCTGGAATGTTAAGGGCTACCCAATTAACTGGTATTTGCTTTGTGTGAGGTTAGTCTTTTCATCTAAACTGACCCCATAACTAAGTACCAGGTAGAATACTCCCTGAATCAAATTCATTTCTGTTCTTAAGATCGTCTGTTTCCTATTGCAGGCTTTGAGCTTGGTTTGCCTTTCATTAGTCTGAGAGTAGAAAGGAACCGCTAGACACAAGGATAAGAGTGACAGGCACTGGGAGTGACTATTGTCCAAACACTTGCAGAACATATCTGAGAAGAAATTTCTGGATGGTCTCCCCTTTCTTTATGAGTCATGGTGTTTTATTTTTAATTACTACAAAATACTTTATAACAAGAGGCAAATGTGATAATACAATTTTCTTTATTAAAAATAATTTACAGCATCAGTAACATACACAATTGTCATCAACTAAACTTTGCCTCCAATATATCTCTATACACTACTTAACATTATTGAACTTAAAACTGTTACACTGTTTTGTTGGCTTTAAATAATAGACAATGATTTGTAGTTATTTAAGTGATACATGGTTTCATAGCCACATCTTATGTGTAAAACTGATAGAACATCCAGCACTATCACCCTTTAGGGGAAAAAACAAAAATCAGTGAAAAGCCAAAGTCCATTTCCGCCCCCATCCTTTATACTCAAATCAAACAAAGACAGGGTCACCATCCTACACCTAAAAGCAAAAGAAAGGTGGCTTCTAATTTGACCACAGAAAAACACCAGTTTCTCCTCATCCTGTCACTCGTCACTGAGAAGGATGCACATAACACTGTTACCACATACGGGAACACCTGTGACTCCGAATTAGCTCTCAGCTGCACAGCTTTTTGTCTATTACGAGTGAAAATCCAAGCAATCTGGATAAATGGGCCCTGCCACCTCTCATTCTAGTGTTGGCATGGAGATAAAATAGAACATAATGACATCATCTTGGGAATACTTAAAGATATAATAGCATTCAGTGGTTGGGTGGTATTTTCACTCACTTCATTTAATAGGACTAGCAAAACCCAAACGTATGGCAATGGTACATGGCATAGTGTTTTTTAAAAGGTAAAAACTGCTGCTGTTGGTAGTGACCTTTGACATTATACTTGAAGCTCACAACACTGACTTGTTTCTTGTGTGCCTGTACTTCCTTTCCACATATTTGTGGGTTTTTTCCTATAACATGAAAATACCCAGATACAGTCAACAAGGTTAAGTACAATAAGAACCAACAGATGCCACATGTTTGCAGCCGTTGGCTGAAGGCGGGATGGTAAGGTGTGTGCACTGGAACACGTTTAAAACTTGGCTTATGAAGCTTTCAGTTCATTATACATAAGCAAGAGACTAGGAGAACATTGATTCTGTTCTTGAAATATAGGACTTGCTTATATTATTACTGGACCAGGCAGACTGGAAAAGTCAATGCTTAATTCATAGCTGTATTATTACTTCTGGATTAATTACTTATGGTGATGTCCATAGTGTTTTCCCATAAACTACAGACAGAGGACGCCTCCAAAATAATACAGATTTTTTTACTCCCCTCTACACCACCTGGAATTACCAATTTCTTCAAAGCATGTAACAGGTATTTTAACATTCAACTTGTAACTTCTCCATTCCTAACTAATGTTTCCATGTAAATTAAAAACACATGCACTGACAGATACACAGCATTTATCAAGAGCACAGTATGATTTGAAAGTACCAAAGAATATACAAAAATTTAAACAAGAGGAAATTGTTTTGTTAAACTCTAGTCTAACTTATTGTCTTAAACAGGTATTTGCAAAATTTCTTTTTTTTTTTTTGTGATCACCCACTGCTCTGGTTCTGCATTTTAGCACAAAACAGTTCATTTTTCATTCTGGGCACTGTAAGCTACTTCTGAATCGCAGTAACTTGTCAAGTCAAATGAAGGTCCCCACGTGAAAAAAAAAACCATTACCATTCACCTTTCTCTAAGCTTAATTTTGTAATTAAAAATGGCACAGGACCTTGTGAAATTTGTTGACAAAACATTTGCTGTGACAGACAGATCTGCATACTGACCCTCAGAGAGCGACCGCAGTGTTTTACCCTTATCATCAGCTTCGGTTCAACCAGACCAACCATGGCAAAATTAATAGAATCGCATATCCCAGGCAAAAATGATTCAAAATCAAGCCAGCAATTTAAATAACTAAAAAATAACATTTTTTAAATGCATAGGGGTGAACCCCCGTATAATTCAGGGTGGGTAATTTCAAAGTCTAGAGGCAATCAGGTTAGAGTTTAAAGATTCATATTCTTGTTAGCATCCATAAAGGAGTGTGGGTTCAATTGGTGTCACCTAAATTAGGTTATAGGAAGCTATAACTTCACAAAAGCTGAACAAAATAATCCAATCACTATAATATCATCTGAAGCGTGCCAGAGGGTCATGGCGCATCAGAGGTGACAGAAATTCTCATGGTGACACATGGAACACATGATCAGTTATACTCTGCAATGGTCCATCTTCAGATATGGAGGAAAGTGGCTGGAAAGGACAGAATGATTGTAATCTGGGGCAGCTTCTGCCCCTTGTAGTGAGACAAAGGATATACCTGGCTTATGTTACAAACTTAGGAATGCCAACTGTGTCCAGCTCAATTCTGAAAAAGAATTCATTGAAAAAGTCCATTTATAAATCAGATCCTACCTTCCACAACTTTACAGTCTTATCTGGCTTCTTATATTCAATCTCCTGACTCTTAAACCAACAAACAGTAGTTCAGTTTTTTAGGTGCAAAACTAAACAAACAACTTTGAGAAGGTTACTCATAGAAGAATCTTCAACACAAGTTCAAATTCTGCCTTTATTTACAAAATGGTCTGATAAAATATTCCCCCCCATACTTACAGGTCTCTTTCACAACACACTTCACACGTTGATTTTAGCAATGTTAATAGCACCATTCGTATATTATTTAAAATCAAGATTTCTTCGCAGTCACCACGGTGATTCATAATCATTTACATCCACAGATGGATAAGTGAGTATACCGAACTGTTTGCAGCTCCATGGCAAAGATTCCTGGGTCCAGCACAAAAGGCCGTGCAGTTACCAGTCACAAAAGACATCACAGTGAGCAGATACTATAAGAATTTTCGTGCCACAAAGTTTAACAATCCTCCATGTTTGTACAATGTTATCTCCACATCATTTTCAAATGAAGCAATCGCGCTGAATACTTTTCCAGTACTTGTCTTGAAACAAACAAAAATATCTTGTGAGTGGCAAAAATCTTCACAGTGTTACTTAGTGGTTAAAATCATGTCTTCTTAGTCACGTATTTTGCCTGACTTTCCTGGTTCTGATTTCATAAAGTGATTGCTTAGAACCCTTGTGTTACTTAAAAAAATACCTGAAGTAGCTGCCAATGGACTTCACAGCTAAATAGAAAAACAGGTACTTTCAACCCTCACTCTAAATGGCAAGTCATACCACCTAGAGCCTAAGTCAAAGGACTTAGATCGACTGATGTACTAAGTTACTTAGTTGCTATTCTTACGCATTTTACAGCAAGTATTCATTACATGTAACGTCAGCCACTCCTCCTTTATTTCCATAGTTGTAGTCTTACTCTAACCCCCATCGCTCAACTTTTGCCTTCTCTTTAGAGCAGAGTACATGCATGGGTTAAAATCAGACCAAAAAAAAAAGAGCGGAGGTTGGCACATGAAATTGGAAGTCAAGACTCCCCTCCATGTCTTTTTTTCTGGACTTAAGCATTTAGTTTTATTTTTCCTCAAAGAAACAGCTGTATCAACAAAGTACAGAGGAGACAGAACCATCTTAAGCTGCAGCTTCTGTGCATTAACACTAGAATGCAACTTACAACTGCTTCTTACTCAATTTACAACCATCTATTAGAGTACGAAGTGCACAATCATGTATTTAAGAAGTTTAGAGATACCTTTATATTTAACGTAACTCCAGGGAAGAGCTCTTCAGGAAATGTTAAGGAAAATGTTTCTTTGCCAGAGAGGCCCAAGGAATCTGCATTTTCTCCTGGGAGGAACTGAAGTGGAGCTATGCCAATCCCAATCAAATGATCTTTGTGTATTTTTTCATAACTTTCAGCCAAAACAGCTTTCACACCCTGCAACAAACATGCATTTTATTCCCTGGAATCACTTTTGAAAGCTGATTTATTGAGCACTTTAAAGGGACAAATATCTACTCTGGACTTCTGTAAACAGTTTTGAAGGCATACTCAAACAGTTCTGAAGTCAGACCAATGTATTTATGGAAGCCTTCTGTACAGTTTTTAAGGAGCTCCCTGAGTTGTTCCGACTCCCTCTTGCCACTCCAGGGTTAAACACTGTGTCTAGCACATAGAAAGTGGTTGTTCCAACTGCAAATAGGGCTCCGTGGAATTTCTTTTAAACAGGGGATCTAACATACACCGTCCATCTCCTGAAATGCCCCTTAAAGAAAGAAATGAAGGTATGTGGTCATACCACCCTGAACATCCCCAGTCTCATCTGATCTCAACAGCAAAGCAGGGTTGGGCCTGGTTAGTGCTTGGACGGGAGAAAAAAAATAAGGTAGGTCTAAACCCACAGCAACAAAGGGGACAGGATGAGAAAACTCAGAAGGCAGAACTAGGTAAGTGACATCACAGACAATGTTGATGCTACAGAATGACATCATCAAGAAGATCTGAGTCACCCTGCAATGCAGAATTTAGGTCTTTTTTTTTTTTTTTTTTTGACAATACTGATAGGACCTTGCTAACTTTGCCCAACTGGCCTCAAACTTTCAATCATCCTGCTTCCACTTAGAATTTAGGAAGTCTTGAGACTCAGAGGTGTGAAGTTCTGGGAATACTGGAGGTACTGTTTAGGTCTACAGGAAGCAGTTCAACACCTACTCTGGAGGAGTAATGTTTATTCTCTGGTGAAAATGAACCAGAGAAATTCTAGATCTGTTTCTCAATTTCTTTGTCACTGCTGTCTAAGGAGCCTTTGAAGATATTTTCTTCCCTTAATTGTATCTTCCTCCTCACCTTCCTTCTCCTTTTAAAACTTTAAGGCCACAGACACATTGTTTTTGCTTACATACTATTTTTTTTTTTTTGTACTTTATAAATAAAAAAACAGCCAGCTATTGCCCCTGGGAGGCCATTCTCCCTGCTGTGAAGGCATGGAGAGACTGGCCTGAGAATGCCAGACTAGAAAGCTGGGGATGAAGAAATCAAATGGCCTCAGGAACAGATAACTGCAGAAAGGTTTCTGAATGAGAAACATGGCTGACCACCAACAGCAGGGCCCACTAACTCAAAATCCAGCCTACACCCACAGCTTAAAACTAGTTCTAGTAACGTCCACATGAATGTACAGCCAAGGATTACATGGGATATGAGAAAAGTCTCCAACTGTAAAAAGACAAAAAAAAAAAAAAAAAAAAAGACTGGAAGTTTTAGAATAAAAACTGTATTTAATAAAATACTTGTAACTAGCATTTTAGAAATCTACACACTCTGTTTTACAAACAGATGATGAGGGTGTGCATTTGGCCAGCCTTTTCACAGCTGTAACTGTAAAGGGAAGCCCTTATGAGCACGTCATATGGAGTTTCGACAGTAGACTGCCCATTTGCTCTACAATAAAGAACAGTTTTAAAACAAAGAACTCCTACCTCCTTCAAAAAAAAAATCTAAAGAGAAATACCTTCTTGCAGATGGCCAGGCACCATCATCTCCTATTGGGGAAGGGAAAGAAAAAGCGAAACTTGACTGGTCCACTACTACTAATGGAGCAAATCAGAGGGAATTAAATAAAAAGGTGGCAAATAAAACTGTGAGGGGGCACAAGTAACTATTACACTGAGACAGCTTAAGACAGAATCCTCCATTCCCTCTCACACCGACTTCCTCACCTAAGAAAACTGATGGAGGTTTAACCAAATACAGAGTATTAAAATGCAACTAGATGAGCACTACAAAGCAGATCACAAACATGAGGTCCAACTGCCATCATTAAAGTTCAAGTAAGTAAAATAAACTTTGAAAAGATGTAGGGATAGAAAGCAATATGAAATTTTTAAGAATCAATACCAGTAAATATGGTCCTTTGGCAGCCCAGTCTCTCGAGTTTCCTGAACCGTATTTCTTTCCTGCTAAAATAATCAGTGGGATGCCTTCTTTCTGGTACAGCTCTGCGGCTTCAAATACATCTAGCTGCAGATTAAATAGAAATGAACATCCTTAATGTAATTTCTTTTCTTTTTTTAAATTACTGTTTTGCTGGCGGCACACTGTGGCATTTCCTATAGCATAGCTGAATTTGCACCCTCCATCATTCTCCTTTATCAACTCTCCCCCTTAATGCAAATTGTGACTGAGTGAGCAACTCCTAGGCACTTTGGACACATCCTCACCGTCTGCCCAGATGGGAAGTGAATTGTTTTGGGAGCTGGCTTTCCAATAAACTTGTTAAAGAGCTTGATATTTGCAAACGTGCCTCTTGTCATCACAGCATCGTTACCTCTCCGGGCTCCGTAAGAGTTGAATTCACGAGGGGTAAGGCTGCAAGAAAGTTAGGAGAGGCAGTTTTCATTCCATATGGGAATTCATGCATGGATAATGTCAAGCTGATACAGAAACAGAAAAAAACAGCTATCATTAAGCAACTCACCGACACTGTTTCTTCTATAATAACCCCAATTAAACTAATGTGAAGCAAACTCAGGTATGGTATTTTAATCATATACATTTCAATATGCTTCTCTAAAAGATAAGACTCAAAAAATACCATCCCCAGTGAGGGGTAAAAGAAAGCCATGGGGGAGGGTGAATGGGAAGAGGGACAGGGATTAGAGAGAATACTGGGGGCTGGGGTAGAGGGGACCAAAACACATCTCTCACACACACACATACACAAACACACGTGTGCGCACGCACGACAGCATAGTGAAATACTGCTTCAAAAGGGCAGGAAGGAGGGAGGTAAGGGAAGATAACAGAAGGCGTGAACGTGTTGAAAGCCCTAGTATTAATGTATGCTAATCTAAACAGCAAACACTTGAGTTCAAATCCCAGTGCCCCCCGCCAAAAAAGAGTAAAACCAAATGCCCAAAACAACCATTATTAAGCACCTCCTTCCCAAAATAATTTTTTTTTGGTGGTACTGGGTTTGAACTTAGGGCCTCACACTTGCTAGGGAGGTACTCTACCACTTAAGCCGCTCCACCAGCCCCCCAAAATAATTTCTTAATATTAGCCAGTCAACAGTCAAATGTACCTGAATTTTTCTATAAGTTTTTTAAAACTGAAAACAAAAACACTTTTTTTTGTACTAAATGTGAACTCCGGGCCTCACACTTATGCTCTACCACCTTGAGCCACACTCCCAGCCCTCTTCTGTTTGGTTATTTTTCAGATAGGGCCTCGTATTTTCTCTGGAGCTAGGCTCAGACCACAATGTTCCTACCTATACTTTCTGCATTGCTGGGATTACAGGCACAAACCACCATATCCAGCTTGCCCGCTGAGATCGGGGTCTCACCAACTCTGCCTGGGCTGGCCTCAAAACTCAATCCTCCAGATTTTTGTCTTCCCAGCAGCTAAGATTTTAAAACCTTGTTTTTAATGGTGCCTGAGATGGAACCCAGGGCCTCAATCATTCTAGGTAAATGCTCTACCACTGAGTCACACCCCCAGCTCCAATACCACTTTTAAAAAGAAAAGTTAATTTGCTCAAATCATAATGTAAATATAATTCATACTTATTCAGTTCAAGTCTCATAAATTAAGCCATTTCTTATACAGTTTTCTGTGTCTACATTGTGCTTACTGTAGTATCATTTAACATGTTTTTCTGCTGCCTTATATCTTATAAACCAGATGTCAAATCCAGGTACCTGGTAACATTTGGGTTGGAGTTTTTTTGTTGTTGCACTGCTGGGGTTTGATCCGCCTTGCGCTTGCACTTGCTAGGTTGGCAATCCACCACTTGGGTCACACCCCAGCTCAGGTTTCTAATTTTTGGCAACAACATGTCATAGTTGGAAGGACATAGGTACTTCTATCATGAAGCACATGACCTCCAACTGTAGTTTTCTGGAATGTTATCAGCAAGTGATCACCATGGTCTAGACTGATTATATCACAGAGAACACAGCAATACTCTAATTCAGTCATTCCTTTTTCCTATTTTAGCTTTAGGCTTCTACAAAGACAGACTTCCCATCACCAATGATTTGGCTATACTGAAAGAGATTCCATGAGGAAAGGCTGGTTCAAGATCTAACTGTTCACTGCTTCCTATCATGTGGTAAGGTAACTAATGTGGCAATTTTTTTTTTTTTTTGCGGACTGGGGTTTGAAGTCAAAGTCTACATCTTGAGCCGCTCCATCAACCCTTTACTGTGTGTGTGAGACAGATAGATAGATAGAGAGAGAGAGAGAAGAGAGAGAGAGAGAGAGAGAATGTGATGGGTATTTCTGAGATAGGGTCTCTCGAACTATATGCCAGGGTTGGCTTTGAACTGTGATCCTTCTGATCTCTGCCTCCTGAGTAGCTAGGATTACAGGAGTGAGCCACCAGCACCCAGCTTGTTTTTTCTTTTAGTGTCATTATGAACTCATATATTTATTAATTTTCACCATTTTTTTTTAGTATATAATAGCTGTTCCTAAAATGACTTGGACAGGTTTCAATGTTCCATATTCATACATGTATAGACAGTACATCAACCATATTCACCCTCCACCTTCCCCTTCACATGCATGACCTGTGTCAAAGTCCTGTCCTTTACTATTGCTCAAGTGTCAGTTAATTGTTCAGTGGGGTTTGCCTTGGTATTTACCCGTAAATGTATTGTGCTTTGATCAGTCTAACCCCGAACTCATGTACTTCAATGTTTGCTATGTTTAGGTCCTTTCCAGTTTTCCTGACAGTCAACATGTCCTGTCTTTGAGCAGTGACAAATTCAAGTTAGTTCCTGAGTGAGACCTTCTGACATAGCATGGTACTCTGACAACTTCCCTGCTTTTGTTACAAGATGCCCAGATCATCCTGTACATTCTACTACCATATTAGAATCAATCATTCCTCTAAGACACACTTGACTTGCTGCTTCCACTGGGAAATGCTATTTTAATTTCTTTTTGTAGTTCTAGGGATTGAACCCAGGGCCTTGGGCAAGTACTCTAACACTGAGCTATGTCCCTAGTACCACCATACCCATCCTTCCTTTTCTTTTATACTTTGAGACAGGATCTTGCATAGCTTGTCCAGTCTGGCCTCAACTTGCGATCCTCCTACCTCAGTCTCCTGAGTACCTAGGATTACAGGCATGTACCATCATTCCTGGCTTAAAAAATGACTTTTTAGAGGCAAGAAACAACTGAACAAAAATATTTCAGCAACCAACAATTTTTATCAGCCTCTAACTTGAAACTTCTTACTTCAGGATGGGAGTGATGGTGGTGGTACTGGTGGTAGGAGAGGGGATGGGTATCTTTATTTTAGAAAATTCTAACTGATGAGACCTACTGGATTAAATGTGCTCAAATAATCATAATGCATATAAAATGGTATATCTGAGAAAAGTGGGAACTGATTTTTATTTGGAGAAGCTATGTCACAATTATGACCAAGATGGAAACCATAACCAAAAACTATTAGGAGAAGGAAAAATTTTATTTTTTACACTCGTAATAAAACTAAACAGTGTGAATCTATGTTAAGTCAAGATACACACCCCTTAGTTTTGCAAGATATTTCAATGAAAAATCTTGATATCAAATAAGCATCCAAAAGCTAATCAGAAACCAATATTGCAAATTCTGCATTAGCAAAACATCTCTGTTAAAACAGTTCAAAAATAGACTAACTCTTCATTATTAATCAGGGATGAGATTTTTATCTCCTATATAGATTTATTGTCCCTAAAAAAGTTCAGGCTTGGGGCTGGTGGAGTGGCTCAAGCAGTACAGCACCTGCCTAGCAAACATGAGGCCCTGAGTTCAAATCCCAGTGCCACCAATTAAAAACAAGTTTAGGCTCAAGAGACAGCAGATGTCTTTTGATTAATACATATCAACCCTGGCCTCACCACTGTACCTTTTGTAGCCCATAAAATAAACATTTACTACACCAGTGTTGGGAAGCTGGTTAGAAACAAACCATCAGGCCTCATTTGGTGGCTCAAAGAAAGCTGACTTTTCAACAAAGTAGCACTAAGAAAGAAAAATCTTGGGCTGGCAGAGTGGCTCAAGTGGTAAGAGTGCCTACCTGGCAAACATGAGGCCTGAGTTCAAACCCAGTGCCACCAAAAAAAAAAAAATCAGTTGTTTATAAGACTGTAAGGACTTCATGAATTACTTTTTAGGCTGGCCTTGACCTTGCCATCCTTCTGCCTCTGGCATGCTGAAATTACAGACATACACCACCATACCTGGTCCTTAAGGACTCAATTTAAAATAGCAATTTCTATTCCTAAAATCATAAGCAAAGAGAGGTATGACAGGTGCCTTCCAGTTCTTATGAAGTCAAATGTTATGCTAACAATCAGACATCTAAGATGGTATGCATTTACTGAATAAAGGAACAAGACCAGTAGAAGCCTCTCAAACACTAAGAAAGAAAGTGAAAGAAAAACACCCCAAAGCATGTATACGTACCCTCTGTTTGTCAAATACTTAGCAGCAGCACTACTCCTAGCAATACTTCCAGCAGGTGATATATGGTCTGTCGTGACCGAATCTCCCAAGTATAGTAAGACATGGGCATTTTCAATAGGCTGGAGTGCAGCTGGCTCTTTGGTCTACAAGGTAAAAGTGCAAAGCATTGAACCCTTCCCAAGGTTTTTTTGTCTATAATGAGGTTTAAAAGATCACACAATAGAACAGTACTTACAAGCTTATCAAAAAATGAAGGACATCTGATATAAGTAGACTTTAAATCCCATGGAAACAAAACTGATTCTGGTGCTTCTAAGGAATTCCACCGTTTGTTTCCCATCTGTGAATATGGTTTGGGTAGAAAAACAAACCAAAGGAAGGTAAGAGTCAAAAAAGAGAGATATAAAAATATTCATGGGAATAAAAATAATACTTAAATCAGACTGAAAAGGGAAAAGGCCTTACCCACTTAAAAAGCTAAGACACTGCGTTTTTTAAATCAGGACATTTGAACAGAATGAATAAAGCCTTGCTTACCAACTTCCAGCCCACAAGATCTTCAGGAACACTTCAAGAGTTAAGTTTCAATGTACACTGAACATAAAGACTTTATAAAGTCAGAAGAAAAATCATCCATAAAGAATTTGAAGAGAACTATACATGTTGTGAGGCATGTGTTAATCTTTAAGAATGTTATCACAAGGAAAACAACTCCACTTTTTCCAATCTATTTATCCCACATCACTGCCTGTTAGTCCTGCCGTTAAACTATACCAAAATGTCATCATTTCTCACCACCTCCACTGCTACCCCAATGGTCCATTTCAGCAATAATTTTTATATCCTGGACTATTGTGTCTTCCTGATTCTAAACTCCTTTCCCAATTCTCTCCCCTTGAGATATTGTCAATACAGAGTGAGCCTTTTGAGTAGACTATGACACTGTTCAAAACCTTCCCATGGCTCTCTCAGCTAACCCAGGTGATGAGTTCTCAGCTATGAGAACTGGACACAAGCAAGGCGAGATGCAGTCAATTGAGTTTACCTGTAGGCCGAGATGGGCCCAGCCCTCCCCCACTAAACAGGGAAAGGCAGAACAGCTGCGTCTCCTAAGCTGCATTCAGAGAAGCAGGAACGCAGGTTTCTCCTGTTGCAATGCCCTCTGTTTGCTTCTATAAAAGACCCCTGAAGGCGGAAAAGGGGCTTTTTGCTTTCTGCTTTTGCCTTTTGGGGCTTTACTTTGGGCTTTTTTGTGTGGGAAGCTTTTGGAAGGGAAAAGAATTATTGAAGGGAAAATGCTAAAGGGAAAAAGGAACAATTGCTAAAAGGGAAAATGCTAAAGAGGGATTGATAGAAAGTTTGCACTAGGAACTTTAACACAGGCTTCAGAAAGCAAAGCTGAGAAAGAACTTCATACATAGGCCTTAGGAAAGCTAAAGAAAAGCCAAAGAGAACAAGGGACAGTGCACAGTACAAGTCTAAGGACACAGACCTTAAGAGTTATGTATATGCAGGTTGTAGGGGAGGCTGTTGCAAGTTTGTAGCACCCAGGCTTTAAGAGAGCAAAAGAGAGATGAGACAGTGCAAGCCTGGGGCAAAAGACTTTAAAAGCAATTAAGGTAAAGATAAACTGAGAGCAAACACACGGACCAGTGCAAGCCTAAGGAAAGAGGTTTTAAGTGAAGTTTTAAAAAAGGGTGTAAAAAGCAAGGTTTTAAGGACTACAAGAAGCAAGGCCTTAAAAGAATCAAGATAGAGAAAAAGAAGCAATGAGGGTTGTGCATGTCCAGCCGAGAATACAATACACCTGACCCCAAATTTCTGTCTCTCCTACATCTTGTCTAAAATCTCCAGTCGCCCCCAGTTAAGCCCAGTTAGGACCAGTAACAACCAAGGAGTGAGAGAGAAAACCTTGCTCCAGCAAGGGAGGGAGCCTGAGAAACGGCGCCCCCTTCACCCAGGTTGCCAAAGACTGTTCTAATCACTTAAAATTTCCTCTGTAATCGGGACCTCCATTTTCCCTATCATCCTTTGTATCCACTGTGCTCTGGTTACACCCCATTCACTACAGTTCCCTCCATAAGGTCTTCACACTGTTTGTTCTTTGTTCAGATACAAGGCTGACTCATTCACTCCCTTCAAAACTTTGCTCAAATGTCAATCTACAATCTGAGCTAGGCATGGTGGTGCATCTCAGCCCTCAGGAGGCTGAGACCAATCTGAGTTATATACTGAGACTGTGATCACAAAACAAACACCTCCCACAAAACCCTGCAACCTGCTGCTTCCCCAAATTTACATTGATCCTCTTTATCCTAACTTATTTTTCTCCGTGGGACTTACATACAAGTGACCTAATTACTTCCTCTGTGGCTCAGTCTGCCCCCGCTCCCCACGAGAATCTTGGGTTTTGGTCAATGATGCATCCCAAACACCCAGAAGCATACCTTCACAGTGGGGCCTCAACAAACATTTGGTAACTGAGTGCTTTCTTGGATTTCATACGTGTATTCTGTTTTTAAAATAAGTTTGTATTCACGTGATTGCTTTTTATGTGGATAAAAACATTTGAAATGATGCTTAAGAAAGACATAACTGGTTACTCTAAAAAGGCAAAGTAAAAGGTAAGGGAAAGATTTCATTATTTGCTATTATTTCCTATAACTTTAGCACCATTTCAATGAAGTGACAAATTTAAGGGCAGCTTCTATGAAGTGTATCTACATTCAGGATGCCAAATATAAGTCCCCACTGTTTACACCTGTAAGAAAAATTATCTTTTCTATCAAAGTATTTGTTACCTTCTTAGATTACTTAAAAATTCCTCAGGTTGCCATCTTAGGTGACTTGCATGTTTAAAGGCTCCTTGCTGCTTCTTCCGGATTCCTGTACAACTCCATTGCCTGCCAAACTGCACGACCTAAACCATCCCCCAAGCCTTTTAGCCAATCTGGGAAAGACTGTGAACCTCTGACCTGGACAAATCCTAGGTAAGGGGCAGGTACAACTGTGTCAGGGAAATAAGGAGGACCCACTGTCAGCCATTTTGTGCTTGCATGTTTGCTTAGCAGGAGTGAGCACAAGCTTGCACCCTCTTGATCAAGAGAAATTGTCTTGTCAAGATTTCCTGTCTCTTGTGTGTCTGTTTTCAGCACTGGAGGTTTATCAATTCCAACACACCTAACAAGTAAACAAATCAATTCTAATACTCTAAGTCATTCTCTTGTAACTAGCAACTCCAGATATGAAATGACTATTGCCCATTAAAAACTGTATTCAAGGGCTGGTGGAGTGGCTCAAGTGGTAAGAATATTACTGCTAGTTAGTGAGAGGTCCTGAGTTCAAAACCCCAGTGCCACCAAAAAAAAAAAAACCCTGTGTATTCAAGCTGGGTGCTGGTGGTTCATGACTGTAATGCTAGCTACTTGGGAAGCTGAGGGGGATCGCGGTTTGAAGGCCGGCCCTGAGAAACAGTTTAAGACCCCCATCTCCGAACTAACCAGAGCAAAATGGACTACAGTGTGGCTCAAGCGGTAGAGCACCTGCTTTACAAGAGTAAAGCCATGAGTTCAAGATCTAGACACACCAGAAACAAAACTACTGAAAATAATGTAACTTAATTTTTTTCTTCTATTCAGAAAGATGATGAAATAAAAGAACTCTATTAAACAAGCAAAACTCTTACCTCTACCTTTTCTTTTAGTGTTTTAAACATGGACAATATAACATGCTCTTCCTCTATCTGATGAACTTCTTCTCGACTAGGCCAAATATCACGCAGGTAAACGTTCTTGCCCACAGGGTCAGTACCTGGTTAAAAGATCGTAACATGGTATCGGCAGCACAAAACTTCCTCAATGTTCATACCTTTTCAAAGACATGTCACAGAAACCAAAAAAATGATCAAACAACAGATGTTTCAGGTCTAACTGGCTGGAAGGACTAAATACTTGCACATCTTATATTCTTCGCATGAACACAGAAATCACTAACAAATTAAAGACAGGACAGTCTAAGGAATATTTTTTAAGTTAACTTCTGGAGGAAATGTGTACACGTCCGAATGAATGAAGGAAAGCATACCTAAAGGCTCTGTCTGGAAGTCTATATTCACTGTGCCTGCGATGGCGTAAGCCACCACTAAGGGTGGAGAGGCAAGATAACTGGCACGAACACAATCACAAAGTCGACCTTCAAAACTTTTGTTTCCAGATAAAACTCCACAGGTAACCAAATCACCCTGAAACACACACACATATTAACAAATACACTTGAACTGAACTTGTACAAACCTGGATAATCATACATAAGCAATCTCAAATATCACAGTTCTTAGGGCAAGGCAACCAAGAAACACCACTTTTAGGTACAGAACTACAAATCCTACAAATAAACTAAACTAATTCCTCAGAGTAATAAAGAAATATTTCAAAAGTCTAGAAAAAAATATTCACAAGTTGCTCTTTCCAAGAGAAGCCAAGAACCACACAGATGCAAAGCATTTATTAACAAGGCAGAGTTAAAGCCCACATTTTACCTGTTTTACTGCATTTAAAACCGCTTCTGACAAGGGTGCTGTGTTTCCCACACACGTTGAACATCCATAACCAACGATTTCAAACCTGCATTTGAAAACAAAAATGTGACTGGATGGCATGCGACATTTGCAAAGAAAGGACAAGTCTTAGCTTTCATTTTCATCATGGCAGTAAAATCACTCAAAGCATATTCTCATGGATTCACCCTCATCAACATATAGGTCATTTCCTACTAGATCAGCACACTGTCACGTCACATGAGAAAACTACTCAAATGCAACCCACTAGGAATGCAACAAAACCTTTCTAAAAAATTCATATTGTACTCCAAATAGACTCCAAAGTGTCTATTTATACTGCAAAGTACCAAGATGACCTGGCTCAAACGATTTCACCAAGCTGTGAGATTTCCTTTTCTGAACTGCATACAAGTGGAAACTTGGTACTTCTTGGTATCACTCTTGCACTGCCTGTTACTGTTACTTGGTTTTACAAGTCTTTAAATGTCTGCTGAGTGATAAGGCCTCAAGCATTGTGTGCTAATGGAAAGGCAAAAAGCAGAACTACAGCATATTTTTTTTCTTTCCATCTTCTCTCTTTGTTCATGGAAGGTTCTAACAAGCAGCTTCAACAGCTGCTTAGTACCAGTGTCCATATAAATAGTGGTTAACTGTCACTTACCCCAGCTTACTAAGATAGGGTAAAACTCCACTTGAACTGAGGTAATGTGTAACCATCCCACTGCCAGGAGATAAGCTTGTTCTTATGTAAGGTTTAACACGAAGACCAGCTTCAACAGCCTTTTTAGCCAGAAGACCTGCACAGTCAATAAACAATGACTTATTACAGCAGTGTTTCTTTCCGTCTTTCATACTAGCATAGGAAGCAAGAAAGTGGTTAACAAATTAAGACTCCAATTCAGATTAGAATGCAAACCCAAATCTGTAAACCTTCATTACTTTTCCACTTTATTCTGTTGACTTGCTTCATTTAAACAAACTTAAATGGTAGGAGATATACACCTTTACGTTGTGTATATTAAGGTTAGGCTGATCTCACGCAAACAGAAAAAAAGGACGTACATGTAAAATAGGTAGGATTAACTGAACATTTTCAGTGCCATAGTCATAATAAACTAAAGGGAACTTAACGTTTAGTATGTTTTGTACCACTGAATAATTGTTCCAATGTATATACAATTTCATTTACAATCTTTGCCAGTAATTTTTCACTCCCTTTCTAAATAAAATTTAGTGCGCTATGATGGTAAACTTCTTGTAGAAAACCAAAAAATACCTGTTAATTAGCAGAAGAGAGATGTAACCTAAAGCTAATTTTTTTTTTAATGGAACTGGGTTTAAACTCAGGGTTTTATGCTTGCAAAGCAGGCACTCTACCGCTTGAGCCACATCTCCACTCCTTAAATTATAATTTTAATAGTTACCTTCTGTGTAATAAAAAAAATTAGTAATATAAATCAAACTCAGGCTCCTGAGGACTTAATTAAAAACCTTAGCAGGTCTCCCAATATCAAACACAGACACTAACAGTCAGGCATAATCTATGGGAAATTAACAGAACAGAAAAATCAAACAATAATTTAGACCATGAGAACATCTACTTACCTGCAGCAAGCATGACAGATGGGTTGCAATTATTGGTGCAGCTGATAACTGCGGCAATGACCACTGATCCGTGAGACAGCTTATACTCACTTCCTTCATAATGGATAGAGATGCTATCATTTTGTTTTTCAGCTGCAATTTGGAAGCCTTTAAATCCAACCTGTATAAATTCGCACATAAATATAAGGTAAATATTATGGACTTGCACAGGAAAAGACTGTAGAAAATAAGCAGGCACCTGACGCCTGCAGGCTGAACAAAGTTGTACGGTGTGAGTGACGTAGCTCACCTCAGCTGAAGCCTGGCCTGAATGCTCATGCCGGGAGTTTGCCGAGAACTCAGATCTTACTTGGCATTATTCTGTACTCGTTCCTACTCACAGAACTCTCAGAGATGGTACAAACTTCTTCTATTCTAAAAGATCTGCTCTCTGGGCTGGTGGAGTGCTTCAAGTGCTAAGAGCTCCTGCCTAGCAAGTGTGAGAGCCTGAGTTCAAAACCCCAGTGCCACCAAAACAAAACAAAAACTAAAAGATCTGTGTGAGTGCAGAGGAGATGAAGCAAGATTGATTATGCGCTTGTGTTAACCTGGTGTTAGGTATATGGTAAACCATTATACTATTTTATTTCTATAGAAGTTTTAACATTTTCAAAATAAAAAGTCAAGATCCTAAAAAGAAATGCTCTGAAAAGAAGGCCAACTCCCAGTTCTAATACAACAGAGAAAGTGACAAGATTGACACCATGATTCTCAAACAGAAAACAAACCTTCTAAAGGCAAAGAAGTCACTTGTTAACTCAGTTACACTTTACCAGATTCTGAGTAATCCATACAGGACGGCCCAACAAAACTTTATGTGACAGTGTAAACACTCAGTATCTGTGCTGTCCAACCCAAGAGCCACAGACAAATGTAGGTACTCAGACTAGAAATGTGAGTACTCTGACTGAAAAACTTATTTTATATTTTAAGTTTTAATTTAAGTAGACACAATCAACTTCTGATCCTCACAGTACAACTCAGAATAAGCTGACCAGGTGACTGACTTGCACAACAGACAGAAAGAAGGGGGCATGCCCTAAGAAAACGTGGCAGTAGACTAAGTTTACAGGTCAGTTCCATACACTGTGGATTCTTTACCTAACACAAGGCTTCCTAACATGCTTTCATTAAATTTACCTTTTCATTTAAGCAAGCCTGGAAATCACTTTTCATGTCTGTCACAGCAACTCTATCCTGAGGCCTTTTTGGACCACTGACTGATGGAACGATTGAATTTAGATTAATCTGTATCACCTAGGAAAAAAGGGGAGAAGAGATTAGAATTCCTAAGTACAGATTTCAACTCAAACATTATTTCCAAAACAGAATGAGCAAATTCACGTATATTTTAGTATAATTTTTTTTCATTGTAGTAAAATACTCCCCTACAAATAAAGACTTATCTATATAAAATTTGTGGTTCTCCAAAGTTTGTCTTCCTCCACAAACATAAACATTGCCATGACAGATGCCCAGTGAGGCACGAGAGGCCTGTGGCAGGCATTGGCCCTGCCTCAGCTCTAATTTCATCTTGCTTTTGCTCTGAGATCAGAGGTATCGGTTGGTCAGATGGCACAATGGGAGGCCTGGTCAACAGAGGGAGACTCCTACAAGCCATGTTTTTAATTCTTTGGTTAAGAAATCATTTTGTTGAAACCTCACTTTCCAACCAGAAGTGAAATTTATTTCACTTCTATTTATTTCTTCTGATATTTCTGCACATTTTATGTGGATACAGACAATCTGAAACTTTCTCTTCATTATGGCTGTATTGGAATTTGAAAGCCCTATTTACTCTGATTGATGCTAACAACTTTTCTTTGACTTTCATTCAATGGACCAGGGTGACCCTCACCCTGGCCCAGATGCGCACTGGAGGAGTATGTTTGAAATCAGCAGCCTGAGATGCTAGTTTATTTCTCAACACGGTCAGGCAGTGGTGCTTGTTTTGTGTTTTGGAGACAGGGTCTCATTTCTTAGCCCAGGCAAGCTTCAAACTCACGATCCTCCTGCCTTGGCCTCCTAAGTGCTGGGATTACAGCTGTGTACCACCATGCCTGGCTAGGGTTTTTTAATATGCAAATTTACTATTTTACTCTACCCACTCCAAGTTTTCCATTTAATCTTTCTTATTCTTTCCATTTACATTTTTAAAAATGTAGACAAAGTTCTAGCTTCAACAGAGGACAAAAAGATCAGAAAATGATCAGAAAAATTATAAAGATTTGCCAAGAATATTGCACAGATTCAAATCCTACACACTCTATTCTGGCTTTCAAGAATGTCTACTGGGGGGTAGAGGTGTAGCTAGGTAGTAGCACAAGCCCTGGGCTCGATCCCCAGCACTGAAAGATAAAAGAGTATCAATACTATGTGCCAGGAGCTATTCTAGAAACTGGGGGTACAACACCAAACCAAACCAAACCAAACCTGAGTTCTGGTCCTCACATAACTTACTTATATTCTAGTATGGAGAAAGACAAACAGGTACATAATAGATCATGTCAGGTAGGAATAGGCTAAGAAGGCTAAGAAGGAAAACTTAACTAGATGAAAAAACAGATTTTCTTGTAAAAACAAACAAAAAAAGCTTACAGTTAACCATACCCATAACAAAGTTGTTACAGATCCTTCATATACTCTTAGAAATTAATATTAAGACTTTCCTGAAAGTGAATGTTATCCATTTCAATATAAGTATCCAACAGATAGCAGTTGCTAAGATTATAAACTATCTTTAAAACTAACTCTTTAAAAGACAATATAACAGTGTAGCTCTTTAGCAACAGAACTGTGAAAAACAGTCATAAATCAGATGCAGACATTATTAAAATTGGAAATTTTGGGGGACAGGAGAATTAGAGTATTATCATAAAGTAGAAAAAATTAGAGCAAACAAGACCCAATTATTGCATTTTCAATACTAAAAAAACTAGGTTTCATAAAATGTTAGAAAATTTACTACTACACATGCATGTGGGCTGGGGGCATGGCAAGTGTAAAGTACCTGCTTATTAGCAAGCTTGAGGGGGAGTTCAAACCCCCCTACCACACAAAAGGTATGTCTGGGGGGAAGGGAGCACTGGTGATCAGAAACTTTCACTCCATCTTGCTTGGTGTGGTGGCACACATCTCTTAGCTACTTGGTAGGTGGAGATTGGGAAGACTGTGGTTCAAGGCCTGCCTGAGCAGAAAGTTAGGGAGACCCAGATTTCAACCAACAAGTGGGGTAAACCTGTGGCCCCAGTTATGCAGGAGACCAGAGATGAGTGCATTTTGGTTCAAGGCTGGCACCTAGGCAAAAACAAGAGACCACATCCAAAAATAACTAAAGCAAAAAAAAAAAAAAAAAAAAGAGCTGGGGGTATGGCTCAAGTGGTATAGCACCTGTTTAGCCAGTAGAAGGTCCTGAGTTCAAAGCCTAGCACCAATACAAAAACAAGTAAAACAAACCATAAAACAATACAAGTCTTTAGTAAAAATCAAAATAATGTGTCACAAAAAACATTTCTGAAATAATATTAAAAGCTACAACTTATTAAGCACTTACTACGTGCCTGAAACTGTTCTATCACAATTCTTACTTAACCTAAGAATCCTATGAGGTACATATTATCATCAGAGATGAGGGCACTTAAGACAGAAAGACTAAATAAATTGCCCATCATTGCAAGCTGGTAAGTGCTTGCAGCTAGGAATCAAACCCAAGTATCAGACACCAGAATTGACACTTCTCAATACTGCTAGGCAGGTTAGTTGCATATACCTGGGAATATTCAGGTTCTGAAGAATTCCGATCATTTCTAAACAATTTCACAGCTTTCAGGTATTTTTCCGTTGACTGGAGCTTGGTTTTGTCAAAACCTAAACAGAAGGAACAATAAAACCTAAGGAATTCCGAAATGTGGAAGGTAAAGATGTGACATTCTAGTGATGTGCTAGAGAAACGTACAGTATAACTTACATATTTACTTACACTTGTCTCTTCTCCCTTGAAGCCACTGTTGGGAGAAAGCCCAGGGTACATGAAGAAACCACACAAACACATGGGTGGATGTGTGCCTGACAGCCCTACCTGAATGCCCAGCTGACAGCCAGCATTCGCTGTCAGACAGCAAGTAAACAGTCCTGCAGGATTTCAAACCCTGGATTGCAAGTTGAGGCCCCAGACATGAGGCACAGACAAGATGGTCCCATTGAACTCTTTCTGAATCAGTAACTCACTGGAACTGTGGGGCAGTAAGTGACTACTGCTGCTTTTTAAGCCACTAAATTTTAGAAAAACTTGTCACAAAGTACAATATCACTAATCTCAATTCAGATTAATATGTAAATAATGAGGTACCACCCCCAAACATTTCTCTCTTATATTCTACCAAAAAAGCTCCAGGTATCAGAGTTCTGCAATTTTCAGGCCCATTCCTTCCAGGGTTTCATATGAACCATCATCGATTTTGCTGTTCAATTAATTCACTTATAATGTGCCCCAAACGTAAGAATATAGAATGTATCTCCTAAAACATATTAAGAAGCTTGGCAAGGAAAATGAGAAACAAAAACATCTACTTCTTGAATAGTGGCCTTATGAAATACCAACACATTCTCATTTTGTAAGTACTTTTTATTTTAGACCTTCAATAGCAGAGTGGTCAAAGATCCTAGTTAGTCACTCTATGAAAAGATTTGGAACCCGTAACCCTATGCTGCTTTTGATAAAACTACGTGCTTCTTATTCTATGGAAGGATAGCTCAGATCCTCAACTCCTGGTTGTAGAATGGAACAGTTATGAATATACTCAAGCTGACTTCCACTAAAGTGAAAACTCATCACTGAGTATGGGTTCAGGAATCCATCATTATGGGAATAGCGAGGGGCGGATCGATGGCTTGAATAAATCCTTTAAATGTGGTCAGTGGATCACAAGGGACTAGGTTTTGAGGACACAACACTTAGAGACATCTGACAAGATTTAAGTCCCTGTTTCAAAATAAGCTAATTTCATGAATATTAAATAACATGTATGACATAGATTATACTGTCAGAGAGATACATTGGAAATGCAACCCGTTTATTCTAATGATCTTACGTTCTCTTACCTGTATGTTCTAAATGTTTTAATGTCACATTGTCAACAGGGAAAAAGCTGAGGATAGCACCATATTCAGGACACATGTTTGCTATTGTAGTTCGATCAACGATAGATAATTGGGAAACACCACTTCCAAAAAACTCAACAAACTTCCCGGCCACTCCTACTTGCCTGAGGTGCTTTAGGGATATGCAGAAACACACAAAAAATTAGCAGTAAGTTTACCATGGATTTCCTGAAAACTGTAAAATCTAACTTTTACTGTGACAAACTCTTTCATGTTCACATAAAACATAAATCCATTGTGGTTTCACAAGTATTTTAACATCACTGTTAAACAGTAGAAAAAGGACCTGGGGGCCAGGCTTATGCCTGTAATCCCAGCTACTGGGAAGATGGAAATTACTGGGGAGATGGACATCAGAAGGATCTCAGCTTGAAGCCAGCCAAGGCAAAAAGTTAGCAAGACCCCATCTTAATCAATAAAAGTCTGGGAATGGTGGTGCCATCTGATCTGGCTGGCCTGGCAAAAATACAATACCCTACTGGAAAAATAACTAAAGCAAAAAGAACTAGGGGCATGGCTTGAGGCAGAGTGCCTGCCTAGTGTGAGTTCAAATCCCAGTATGACCAAAATAAATAAACACATGGGACCTGAAAGTCAAGGCGGCTATGAGTCACGTCAGTGACTCTGAAGTCAGGGTACACCTCACAGCCCACGGCAAACATCGTTCTTTCTTAGTGGTACATAAAGCAATGGTGCTTCAAATGACATGTTATCTTAGATTTCATGATATACTAACATACTGACAAGACTGTACAGTTAGGTTAAAATGATATGTTCTCTATAAAAATTCTTCAAATTACAACTACTGGACCAAATCTTTACAGCATCATGTGATTTCAAACTTAATTCCTTCCAAAATCATTCTTAGTTACTGCCAAGTAACCAAAACAAGTATTCATCTTTACTAAATTGTAAGGTGGTCTTCAAATGGCATGGGAAGAATGCCTAAGGAGGTGACAGAGTAAAATAACCCCCAATCTAGGAATAAAGTCAAATCCTGACCCTAGAAGTGCTCAGGACTGCTTAATCCAAACTCTTAGGGAAAGTCAAAGCCTTAAACAAAGATATGTCTTTACATTTATGGTTACGCTTTTTGGGGGCAGCACTGGGGTTTGAACTCAGAGTCTCACACCCACTAGGCAGGCACTCAACCACTCGAGTCACTCTGCTAGTCATTTTTTGTGTTGAGTATTTTCAAGATAGGGTTTCACGAACTATTTGCTCAGACTGCCCTCAAACTGTGATCTTCTTGATCTCTGCCTCCGGTGTAGCCACCGGCACTTGACTATGGTTATACTTTTAAGAATAAAAGAAACACAGACAAACTAAGTCAAATGTTGCCTTCATCAAATTGATGAGTCAGTACAATATATATTGGAAAATAATACAATTAATCTTATAAAAATCATGAATAGACTGGGACCTGAAAAAAGAAATATACTCAATAAATATAAATCTATGTAATACATTAAAACTTTCTAACAATAAGCTGTCAAACACAGACAGTAATACTGCTAAGAAAAAAACAGCCAGAGAGTCTAAAAAGCATCAATTTTTGGGATGTCTGAAGAATTTCTCTAAAACCAAAAAAACTGGTATATTCCCTTTATTTCAGGAATAGTCTTGCAATTCTCAAAATAACTTCTTGATCTTTGGTACCACACAATGCATCAATCATTTCCCTAAGAGGTCAGTGTTTTCTAATCAGGAAGAGGGTCAATATTAAACGCTGAGAAGGAGGCATTATCGTTTTTTTGCCCTGGAGTATCCAGAAAGCCTTCAGACCAATAATTTAACCAAAACTGATGAGAAACTGGGATCCAAATTGGAATTGTGTACAGAACATCTTCCAGGTACAATCACTTTTTAAAAATGGGATGCAGTAATAAAAATGTTAGTGAAAAGCAGAAATTTAAGCTGGAGAGAGTTACTAGGAATCCTCTTGAGCCAATGTATGAAAGGCATGTAGCCAGTATTTTAAAAATTCAAAAAAAAAGAGCTTCAAAGAAATGCTATATAGCCAATAGAAAAGTTTGGCACTATCACATTTCTACAGTCCATATTTTTGAAAGCATTATCTAGCAATGGTTTAGAAAGTACAAATAATTGGATCAAATATTAAAGAAGCTGGACTTGGAAGTGTGGCTCAAGTGGTAGAGCACCGGCTTTGCAAGCACGAAACCGTGAGTTCAAGCCCCACTACCACCTACTGAAGCAATAATACATAACAGACGTAAGGACTAAGAGCATGAACTCGAGAACCTGGCAGCACAGGTCAGAATTCTTGGCCTGTTCCTTAACCCTTTGGCTCTATAACCTTTGTAAGTGATTAAGCCTCATGTGTCTGTCTTCTAAGAATCAAAATGGTAACAGGACTTATCTCACTTACTTGTAATGAGGAAAAAATGTGTTGACACGTGTCAAGTGAACAATGACACATCTGTGCAGATTAAATATTGTACATTTGCTGTTACTACCATGATGATAACTACGATGATGCAGCTAATAACGTGAAACCTAAAGATACAGGCGTGAACCAAAACCCCTGCTCTTGTGGGGCTCTTCCACTTACATAAAAATAACGCACAGTAAGGCATACAGCTCCCAGAAGTTTAACTTACCTTCGTAATGCCAAGAACAACATCGATGGATGTAACGAAAGGGTTGAGTGGCCCAGTTAACTTACATCCAACCACCTCTGGTAAAGCAAGAGAAACTGGAAGACCAAGCATAACTGCTTCTGTTTCAATGCCTCCGACTCCTAGTAATAAAGACAGGTGTATTAGTAGGAAAAATTAAAGGTAACTTACGTTAGCATGGTAACACTTATATCTCTGGGCATTTCATCGGCATGACTTACACAGTACTTCACTCACAAAGAGTTACTTGAACCAAACTCTATTCACATGGTTTAAAAAACTACTGTTTTTACCTTTATATTAAATTTAATAAATTTAGTATTATGCTCAAGAAATAGACATGAGTACAGCTCAGTCTATCAACCTTAAGAAGCTCAGTCTAATGAAAAATGGAAAAAAAAAATCAAGAATTACTGCACTATGTAAAAGAGTAAGTACAGAGTGGGGTTTTCTTAGCTTAGTGAGGGGTAGTCATGAGGTATAAAAGATCACAGCCCACTTACGGGATAAATGGCCAGCCTCTAGATGGTGTGGCAAATGGCATAGAAAGTACCAGGTTGGGAAGGGCTTTAATAAAATGCCCATAAGAAATCCAGAGTTACAGAAGCAGCAGGAGATGCTGCTGAAGGATTTAAGGCAGTACCAGTCAGAGCCATTATTAACACTGTCACAGACCTCCTCCTCCTCATCATCATCCCTGAAATCACATCACAAATGGAGGTGCTGTGCTGGCAGTGTGAAAATCCTCCACCACACAATTCACAAACTCCTGAGTTAAGATTTTTTTGTTGTTGGTGTAGCACAACTGATGGAAAAAAAAAAAAAAGAGCTTCAAAGAGGCTATGAAGACTGGCTATTTGTTCTTGGGTAATGTTCTTGACATCCTTTCCCAAAAAGAAAGCAAAGATATTTAGTCATTTACTCACCCCACCCAAGAATCCCCAAACCATTGACCATGGTTATATGAGAATCTGTGCCGACTACGCTGTCTGGAAAGAGGAGGTCCTTGTCTTCACAAACAACTCTGGACAGATACTCTAAGTTTACTTGATGAGCCATTCCAGTTCCAGGTGGGATGACAGCCACATTCTTAAAAACTCTTGAACTCCACTACATTTTGTTTAGATTTAAGAAACACAGGTGTTAGTATTCACTATCAGCATATAAATATTTGTACTAGAAATGTTAACCACCACTCAAAACGGTCAATTTAAAGTTTACAATACTACTAAAAATCCAAATCTGCAGACACTGAATCTAAGTATGCATTTTGTAGACTTAAAAACTAGGTCAGGGTGCTACTGAACTGTGTTCTAAGTAGTCTTAGGGAGAAGGTCCAATGAACAGGACCTGTAAACTCACTTGAACCTGAGCCACTGCTTTCAATTTTGTTTATACGAGGGTTTCCAATAAGATTTTGGATTATTGGTTTGGGAAGAACAAAACAATAAAGTCTTCAAAGCCACAAGTCTATATATAAAAATTGCACCTATTAGCCAAGGGCCAGTGGCTCACAACCGTAATCCTAATTCCTTGGGAGGCTGAGATTAGGAGGATTGAGATTTGAGACCAGCCCAAGGTATATAGTTTGCAAGATCCCACCACAAAAGTAGCTAGGGCAAAATGGACTGGAGGTGTGATTCAAGCGGTAGAGGGCCTGCTTTGTAAGTGTGAAGCCATGGGTTTAAACCCCAGTCCCACCAAAAAATAAAAACATAAAAATAAAATGGTACATATCAATATTTTACCAGTATCAATACAAAATTTCCCCAAATCATTTGTACCTTGAAAAATTGAAGCCTCTCTCGATTTCTGCCAAATTCTACTTCTTGGTTTTTTAACACTGTTTCAGGTCTAAAAGGAAGAAAAGCTGGCATTAAATGTATCATAAGAAAACAAGAAAGTCTTGCTTGTTTCTTTCTAAGTCTTCATTCTTATATACACACATTATAAACACTTAAAAATACCTTTGGAAGACCAATTTACTAGACTTCTCAGAATTAATTAACTTCTCTCTCAATGACGAAGCTGTTTCTGCTTTACATAATACATCGAACAGCTATACAGGAAAGGAGTTATCTTACTAGGTAGAACGAAGCAACATCCATTACCAGTTGCCAAAATGCTATGTGAAATGCCTTGTGACACTTGGCTAAGGCCATAATAAAAATGAAATGGCAAGCTGTGCTGGAATTTCCACTGCAAGGAAAGGAGAGAGCAGTAGTCTGTTCAATAATAAATGTGGACGTTCTTACCCACTTGGCTCCTGTGCCAGTTACATGGAGATATGGGAACAGATATCACTATGTAGCAATGAAAACACCTCAACATCATCTTAAAGCTTAAAAAAATCTTTTGCAAAAAACCTCTAATTTACTTTACAAGTCATAAACAAATTTCACGTTATTTAAACTAAGATAAAAGTAATTTACCTCTAAGCAAGTAAACCTACTACCATTTTCAGGAAACTATTTTTACTTAATGGGTATGTCAAAAAATTATTTCAAATGGCTTTAAGTTGCTTACTGCAAGTGCCAGCTGGTGATTATGTGTTCACTAGACTATCAAAATAACTTAAATTATGTATGTCCTCTAGGGCCCAGATAAAGTAGTTTAAATCGACAACATTTTTTTAAGCAAAGGTTACTTTAATAATTCATGGTTGAGCAATCATTTCCGGCCACAGCACATCTGCGTGAGCTCTTGCTCAGGACCTCAGGGACACAGCATCCTAAAACCACTTCAATTACTTCACCTTTCCACAGCACTTAGGGCTAAAAAGTGCCACCCATACTCATCAGCTCTTATCTGACTTGAAAATTAGGCAATGATTTCCAGTGTCAAATGGTAAGCTCAACTTCTTACCCTTCCACTTCTTGTTTGAATTTCTAATTAATACTTCATTGATGCATTAAGGAACAGAAAAGAATTACTGTTTTCACAAAGCCGAAAGTATCATATAACCCTCTGTAATTTAGAGTCAAAATGGAGGGGAACTTTATACAAGGTTAGATTTTTAGAAGTAAAAACATGTCAGGAAACACTTCACTCTGCAGTTATAAAACGTTTTTGTAAAAAACAATGATTTTGACTCAACAACTCTTCCTTTTCACAAAGCTAAGTTCTAAGAGGTGTTAATCTCTGAAGTCAGCATGACCCTAACAGTCAGGGAAACTGGGAGTGATTATATAAAGCCGCTCTCCTTTCACTGCAGAGGACCCCCACATCACACTTGGTCCTTACAGATGAAATGCAAATGAGGTCACCATAATCTAAGGCTGTGTAAGAACAGAGCCCGAATGTTAGAATTAAGACAAAACTTAATTAAGATCCAGTTGGAGGACAAATCAATGTACTATGTAGCATCAGCATATAACATGGATATTTCTCTTAGCTACTCTACATCTTAAATGTGGTAATTTAAGAAAAAAAAAAAAAGAAGAAACCTGAAAGGGTAATTTTTACTAAATAAAAAAAAATTATAGTCTACTAACAATGGAATAAATAACACAACTTCCCTAAATTTAAACCACAGAACTCCTATTTTACCTCTTAGGGAAATCTAACCAAACCCTAGGACCAGCATCCTTTTCTACGCACATTTACTACTTTCCATGCTACCGCATAGGAAATAATTTATCTAAAAGAGCTCATTAGGTTTGTAACATAAGAGAATCACCACATTCTTAACAGAGCTTGTAATGGAGCATAAAACATAAGAAATCCTTGCCAGGTGCTGGTGGCTCATGCCTGTAATCCTAGCTACTCAAGAGACAGATCAGTAGGATCTGAGTTCAAAGCCAGCCCCAGGCAAATAGTTCACTTGACCCTATCCCAAATAAGAACCCTCACAAAAATGGTTTGGTGGAGTGTTGTTGACCCTGAGTTCAAACACCAGTACCAGGGGCAGGGAGGAAAGAAACCCTTTTACAGTAGGGAGGAAAAAGCTAAATACAGAGAATTCACAAAAGAAATATGAATGACTAATGAGTATATCAATGTACAAATTCACTAAACTAAAAATTCAGTTTAAAACAAGATTCCATTTTCTGTGGAGGAGATAAAGGTGAGGAAATAGCTGATGGCTTCACAGACATGTATGAAATCGAACAATGAAACATCTTGCAATTGCTTTCAGAGGGATAGGAAGAGGGTTGTGGGGGTGGGATGATGGGGGCGATCTAACCAATGTACAATGTAAGTATTCAGAATTGTCACAATGAACCCCCCTGTACAAATATATCCTAATAAAAATGAAAATAGAAAAAGATTCCATTTTCTGCCTACCTAACAACAAATACAGGGCTGGTGATAAAGCTCAGTGGTAGAGTACTTGCCTAGTATGTTCAGGGCCTGGGTTCAAGCTCCAGCACCACAAAAAAAAGCAATTTTCCATGGATTTTTAAAAATATATTTTTACAGACAAATCCTAAGGTTTGCTTCCTAAGGAATAGAAACAGAGTTGTACTTATAAACTAACTTTGCTTCATTTGGAACAACATGGAATACATACAGAAATGTAATCTAGACAGGACATGAATGTCTTTTCCTGAACTGAAAAATAACCTAGCACTACTCGACGTTAACAGCAACACTCTCATACTCAGGCACTGGTTGCAAATGGAAAGGACACAGGATGGGTGTGTTCTCAATCTGCGAAGAAAAGGTTCCTGAGTTTCGGCCTAGCTCTCCAGAACCACAGGATCCTCGGCAGGGAGTCTGGCCTCTGCAGGAAAGCTTCTTAGGCTGCACTTTAACTGGAGACAGCTTTCCTGCTCTCTGCAGGTCACCACCTCCAGGATTTGGCGCGTTCTGTATTGCACTATTATCCCAAAAAAGGAGACAAAATAAAAACATTCAAATGTGACAGAAACTTTGCTCTTCAGAAAATGCACAATAGCAACACCATCTAGAAGCAAATAATCATCACTGAACTTGTGTGTCAAAAGCAAAACCCAGATCACAAAAAATAGAACTTAATTTATAGAGATGAAAACATAATATAATTATTTTCACATATTCTATACAAATTTAAGTTTAAGGAAGTGCCAAAATAATTTTTTCACATAACAACTTCAAAGTACAGAGCCAGTTTATTAACAGCATAAAACTCTCTTGTGGGCTATAATAAACTGCAATGTTAATCTGCTACTCCTGGGAATCTAAAAGATGACTTACACCTGACAACAGAAATACATTTTTACGTAGCTTGCCCTTGGTCAAAGAGGTCTTACAAGTATATGAAACTTCAAGACTAGGAGGACTGCAGTTCAAGACCAGGCCGGGCAAAAACTTAGCCAGACCCCCATCTCAACCAACAGGCCAGGCACGGTGGTACACATCTGTGGTCCCAGTTACATGGGAAGCCTCAGGAGGCTCCTGGTCCAGGACAGCCTGAACAAACACCTAAGGTCCTACCTGAAAATACAGCTCAGGTGGTAGGGTGCTTGTCTAACAAGTGTGAGGCCCTGAGTTCAAACTCTAGTATTGCCCCCGCCCAAAACTCTTCTCTCAGCAATTTTAACTATCAATTAATGACAAATCTTTAGACTCTTTCTGAAAGTAGGTCAAAAAACCAACAAAGGAAGCTGGGCTTGGTGGCATGTGCCCACGATACCAACCACGTGAGGCTGAAACAAGAAGACTGAGAGTATGAGGCCAGCCTGGGCTAACAGTGGGACCCTGTGACAAAAAAAAAGAAGTGAAGGCTTAATTCAGGTATTTACTCCAAAAAGCAGGTGCCAGTCTTATACATCCCTATCAAATATGGCAACAGAAATACACAAACATGGAAACAGCTTTAAACTCAGACTGAGTACAGAAAATGTCACCAACCCATAAACTTTCCACCAGTTTTTCCTTTGGGATGCTAACCAACACTAAGCGTGGCATGGGTTTCTTTGGCACAAACCATTCGTATCCTCAGTACTAGCTACTTGTGAACGGCATGCTTAGTGGCCTTTGTAAGTAGGTGCAGTAAAGTACCATCTGCTGAAGTCTATCTGCAAAGAATGGTCAACTGTGAGGCCCGCCGGACAAGCAGGATGGACTTTCTTGGGATCCCCTCCAAGGGTTTTCACTGCTTCCCTCATAGCAGCAAGATCCACCATGGCAGGTATTCCACTAAAAAATAAAGAAAAGTCAAATTATAACTCGAATTGTTTTCATATATGCTTATTAAATGAGTAACATCTACTTACTTTTTAGTTTGCTTTTTTTTTTTTTTTTCCCCTTTTCTTTCTTTGGCGGTACTGGGGTTTGAACCTTATGCCTGCTAGGCAGGCATATTCCCAAGCCCTTTTATATTTTAGTATTTTGGGATCAGTCCTCATTATTTTTGCCCAGGCCAGCCGGAACAACAATCCTTCCTATGCCTCTATCACACCTGGGACTACAGAACTGAAGGACCATGCCCAGCTCATTTTGTTGACATGGTCTCACTAACTTTCTACTTGGCCTAGCCTCAAACCATGATCCTCCCAATCTCTACCTCCCAAGTAGCTGAATGAAAAGCACGTGCCACTGTGCCCAGCTTAGTTGGTATTTATTTTTGAAAAATGTACTTATGATCCAACTTAAATGTGCCCTGGTTTAATGAGAACTACCTTAAATTATTATCTAAGAACCTGAGAGTCAGGGGCAGATGTGCCAAAAATAATGGAAGAGATGACTTTTGGAGGCATAAGTAATCATCAAGGAAACTGAGGAAATTTTCTGCATTAAAGTTTTTTGAGACAGTGTCTCACTATGCAGCGTAGGCTAACCTTAACCTCTTGATCCTCCTGCCTCAGTCCCGTGAGTGCTGAGATGACAGCTCCTCCCTGTGCCCTAGGGTGACTCCCCCCACACAGTGCCTTATGTTGTCTCAAAGCTGTCCAAAATAGTTTTAGCTATTTTACTTTCATCTTCCAGATATCAAGCTACATAACAAGCATGTGCCAAATGCCTTCAACGGGCTTGATGCCAATGGTAGGAGGCTGAATATGATACACTTGCAGCCCTCAAGGAATTTTTAGGTAAAATAAATTAGTGGTTATGAAACAGTACTATAATAGCAGCATACACAGGGTACATGGAGCAGTGGCACATGAACTAGACTGGGGAGGGGGTATAGGGGATGTGTAACCCAACTCCTAGGCTTCTTCAAAACTTAGTTAAAAGATTAATTCTTCAAGTGCCTCCTTTGCAAGTGTGAAGCTCTGAGTTCAAACCCCAGTCCCACTGGAAAAAAAAATTAAAAGACTAATTCTAACAATAAGTAATCCCTGGACACCCAGATCCAGCAGGGTGTTTCAACACCCTTTAGGTTTTATTCCAAATGGTGCAGGTTGAAATGATATGACCTCATTAATATTTTTAGCCAGGTCACTTCACCTACTGTGTAAAGAACAGACTACAGAGCTGAAGTGTGGGAGCAAAGATATCAATTACGAGTCTATTGCCTTTACAGCCCAGGTAAGAGAAAATGGAGCCAGGTGCAGTAGCTCACACCTGTAATTCCAGCTACGCAGGTGACAGAGATAGGAAGGATTGCAGTTTGAGGCCAGTCCAGGGGGCAAGGTTAGTAACACCTTATCACAACAAACAAGCTGGGTGTGGTGGTTCATACCTATAACCTCAGCTACTCAGAAGGTGTAGGTAAGATGATCATGTTCTGAGGCCAGCCCCAGCAAAAATGCCTTATGAGAAAAAGAACTAAAACAAAGGCTAAGGGGTGTGGCTCTAGGAGCATAACTCAAGTGGTAGAGCACCTGCCTAGCAAGCTCAAGGCCCTGAGTCCAAACCCCAATTCTCCTCACAGAAAGAAAGAGAGACAGAGAGAGACAGAGAGAGAGACAGAGAGAGAATATGAAGCTAGAACCAGAATGACAGTGATGGAGATGGAAGAAATATTTCAACATGGTGCCAGGCACCAGTGGCTCCCACCTGTAATCCTAGAGACTCTATCTTGAAAAAAAAATTACCAAAAAACAAGGGCTGGTGGAATGGCTCAAGGTGTAGGCTCTGAGTTCAAGCCCCGGAACCACAAAAAAAAAAAAAGAATTTCAACATGGTAGCACTGACAGAATTTGTTGGTGTCTGGTGACATGGTATTAAGAGAAGAATCAAGGCTAATTCCTAGATTTTTGACCTAAACAAATGGGAGTCTACGGTGACATTCAATATGACAGAAGACTTGGGAAGGCACAGGTGCCATGCAGTGGACCTTCAGAAAATCACTATGACAGAAGACTTGGGAGAGCACAGGTGCCATGCAGTGGACCTTCAGGAAATCACTATGACAGAAGACTTGGGAAGGACAGGTGCTATGCAGTGGACCTCCAGGAACTCAAGGCTTGGAAACATGAAGCTTGACAAACCCAGTAACCATGTAGAGACAAGCAGCCACAACAAGCAGGCAGGCGGAAAGCAGTTCGTAACCTTTACTGAATGGCTTCCATTAGAAAGGGCACCTTCTTTAAATTTACACAAGTCTTCAAGTTAGAGAGCCAACAGAGCCATCTTTCAGGGAGTCTGAAGTTTTTAAAGAGAACATTATAAAACTCATTCATGAAAAAATAAACCTATCACTCACGTAAAATCTTGAAGAAGAACACGGGCAGGGAAAAAGGGCACTTCAACATTGCTTTGTTTGGTTTTCCAGTCTAAGATGTTCATAACATCTTCCTTTTTCATTAAAAAGCCATCACAGTTTCGTACAGCAGCTTCCAACAGGACCCGTATTGAGTAAGGCAGAACATCTGATTCAAGAGAAAATACCACTGTTAATAAGAAAAGTCATATGTATATAGCAAAGAGTTAAAGAGGCATTGTTTTCTCAATTTAAAAAATTTACTTTTTAGTCCAATAAACATGGCTATAATGCACTCATGTTAACTTTGACTTTCCTATAAAAAAAAATAGAGCTGAACCTTTCACCAAGTACTATACTGATTTGGGTATATCAGACTGTAACCAAGACAAATACTTGATATTCAGAGAAGACACAGAAACACTGAAAAACTTAGAATATCAAATACAATAATGAAGACACACCCTGTTATGAAAAAATAAACTGTCTAAAAAACTTTGTAATAAATTTAAAATATTCCCACTGAAAATGGTTTCAAGCTTGAAAGTAAATCAGTATGCTTGGATAAAACATTTACTGCTGATTTGATTACAATTTGAGGATATAATGAAGAGTTCAGTGTAATTTTCAATCATTGAAACTCTCACTTCCAATTTGGCCATAAAAGTGTTTCCTTAGAATACTAAAGGAAGACTGAATTAGTATGAGACTTTGGTAAACAGTGTGACAATCCACATGATGGATTACAATGCAGCTAAGTAAAGGAATGAAGAGTTCTAACTGCTAATAAGGAATGATCTCCAGACTGTATCATTAAAAGAAACAATGCAAAGCAGTATCTATAGTGTATACCAAGTTCCCTTATGAGGGGGTTAGAAATACATATGCATAATATACAAAAGCATGTAAGTTTAAGATTTACCAAAGAAAAGATAATAAAGTATTTTATATAAAGATTGAGCATCCCTGATTGAAAATCTATCTAGCCAAGCATGACTTCTTTGTGTATACTCCAGCTTATTACCACTGATAAACATCTAGTCTGTTTCCAGGTTTTTACTATTATAAATAATTTCTTAGCTGGGCCCTGGTGGCTCACACCTGTAATGCCAGAATTACACATGTAATTCTAAAGAAGAGATGGGGAGGATGGCAGTTCAAGGTCAGCCCAGAGAAAAAAGTTTCAGAGACGTCTTATCTCAACCAATAACTGAATGTGGTGTTATGCTCCTGTCACCCCAGCAAAGTGGGGAAGCACATTATGAGTTTAAATCTCAGTGCCACCGAAAAGAAAAACATTTGTTAACAAATACTACTTTCAGCCTGGTGCCGGTGGCTCATGCCTGTAATCCTAGCTACTCAGCAGGCCCAGCTTGGGCAAATAGTTTGTGAGACCCTATCTCGAAAAAAAAAACACATCACAAAAAAAAAAAAAAAAGTTGGAGTGGTTCAAGGTGTAGGCCCTGAGTTCAAATTCCAGAATACAAAAGAAAGTGAGTCTTCAGCCTTACATCAGTAAGAAACAAAATAGTCTCCCAAACCAAGGAGAATTATAAAGGAAATTTTTTAATAGACATTTGGAGATAATGAGAAGGCAAACACTGTCACAGAAATTAAATATGTAAGATTAATTTTTTTTCCTTTCATTTATTTTTTTTTATTATTCATATGTGCATACAAGGCTTGGGTCATTTCTCCCCCCTGCCCCCACCCCCTCCCTTACCACCCACTCTGCCCCCTCTCTTTCCCCCCCACCCCCTCAATACCCAGCAGAAACTATTTTGCCCTTATTTCTAATTTTGTTGTAGAGAGAGTATAAGCAATAATAGGAAGGAACAAGGGTTTTTGCTGGTTGAGATAAGGATAGCTATACAGGGCATTGACTCATGGTTAATTATTTTTTAAAAATAATCTCAGGAAGTTTCTTTTGCTTAATGTGTCTTATAGCAAGCATTTCTTCAGCTTTCTAGTTAAAACACGGTAAACACTTTCTTCTGAAGCCCACGAAGACAAAAGTTAAGAAATAACAAGATTATGGGGCTGAGGGAGTGGCTCAAGTGGTAGGGCACCTGCATAGCAAGGTGAGGCTCTCAGTTCAAACTAAGAGGGAGGGACGGAGGGAGGAAGGAGGGGAAGGAGGGAAAGAAGGAAATGACAATGTTACAAATCCACGAAGAACTAAAACCAACACAATTTTAATAGTTTCTGCTGGGTATTGGGGGGGGGCGGAGTGGGTGGTAAGGGAGGGGGTGGGGGCAGTGGGGAGAAATGAACCAATCCTTGTATGCACATATGAATAATAAAAGAAAAATGAAAAAAAAAAAATAAAACCAACACAATTTTGGAAATAGAAAGTAAAAGGCTGATGGTAAGGGACTAAGCAGAAGAGAGCAGACAAGGCTCCAATTTAAACATCTACATGGTGAGTGGACAGCCTGAAACACCTGGAATCAGGATGGCCTAGGCTTGCTTAGGAGTGCTCAAGGCTGGGCAATGGGCAACAAAGCTTTCCAGCCTACAGATTTATACACAGAGGGAACTATCAAGTAATTGGGCAAAAATTCGCTTCCCAGGCACTTTTTCTTAGTAAGTTTCAGGAAGATATATTCTACCAAACAAGGCAATAAACAAAAATTAGGAAATGATGAAATCTAGGAAATGGTCTCCACCACAGGAGGGATAGTTGAGTGAGTGAGGACATGGCTGTGCAAGCCACAGTGCAATCAGTCTCAAATGGAGAAGATGAAGTCCAGATGGGATGCTGCCAAGAGAAAGGGGAAAATTGACAAATTACTCGATTATACCAGGAGGAGTTTAGTTCTTTTGGAGAGAGTGGAGATGAATTATTGATAAGGACATAGGAAGCTAAGTGAACAAAAAAGAGCAATCATCATAAGGAATGAAATTATGTCACTTGCTGGAAAATGGATGCAACTGAAGAGCATCTTACTAGGTGATGTAGGCCTGTCCCCAAAAGACAACTATTGCACGTTTTCTCTCATTTGTGGAAGCTAGGAGAAAACAAAAAACAAGGTCATAGAAGTGAAACAGGGCCAACAGGAGAGTTGGAAGGGGAAAGATGGTAAGAAGAAATTAACAGAGGGGATGAACAATATCAAAGTACATTATATGAAGTATGGAAATACCACAATGAAACCCTTTAACTTTGCACAATGTACACTTTTTAAAGAAGAAGGTAATCACTAATTCTAGAAAAAATACAAAGTTGTATAAGAGGAATGTGCAGCTGTCACTTACTACACGGACTGACTGAGATTTATAGTGATAAGATAAAGTTATGGAGATGTGGCTCAAGTGGTAGAGTGGGTGCCTGCCTAGCTATGTGCAAAGCCCTGAGTTCAAACTCCAGTACCACAAAAAAAAAAAAAAGGGAGCTATAAATTTTTAAAATGATCAAATAGCTAAAGATTATAATAAAGGACTCCAATCCACTTAGACTGATTAAAGAATATATATATATGAGGTACATAGGTATGTGTCAAAGAGAGCTATCAAGTTCTCATCTTCCAGAGCAGTATAAAGTTACTAAAGTCTAAAACTGAGAAAAATAATCCCCGCCCCAAAAATCAAGAAATAGAAATACAACTATTTAAGGGCTGGTGGAGTGGTTCAAGCGGTAGAATGACTGCCTAGCAAGTGTGAGGCCCTGAGTTCAAACCAATTAAATTGCCAATTTAAAAAAAAAATTGTAAAGAAGGCTGTGATAATATGGAGAAAACTACAAAAAAGAAAAAGCCAAGAGAACTGGAAATTCTCTGGGAAGCAGGCACTGGGTAGGGAGAACAGGGAGCTTTGGTTCTAACCTTGGTGGGGTTTGTTTTGTTGAGGCAGGGTCTCCCAGGCTGTCCTAAGACTCATGATCCTCCTGCCTCAGTCTCGTTGAGTACTAAGATTATAGGTGTGTACCACAACCAATGCCCAGCTTGGTGATTTTTTTAAACTATATCCTTTGAAAAAATAAAAGCAACTATCAAATTAAGAGTGCTATGAGAAGAACTAACTAGACATTTTTTCATTAAGAAGCACTATCACAAATTTGTCTAAATTTGGACCAGGCATGGTGGTACACATCTATAATCCTAGCTACTAGAGAGGCAGAGGTAGAAGACTGCAGTCTCAGAAAAATAAACCAAAGTATTTATCTGAAAAGTAAACTAAAAAAAAGTAAGAAGTAAAAGGACTGGAGGCATGACTCAAGTGGTAAAGCAACTGCCTAGCAAGTTGGAGGCTGAGTTCAATCCCAACGTCACTAAAAAATTGTCTAAATTCATAGATTGTAACGATAGAGGCCTACTGCAGGAAGGGAAAGGAAGGGGGAAGGGAAGGGGGAGGGGGGAGGAGGAGAGGAGTGGGGGGAGGAGGGAAGGAGAGAGTAGTCCACCAAAACCACCACCTAATTTTTTATTTCACCCTGCTGATAAGCCAGCCTCCAGGGTGGCATCAGTAATTCTCACCTCCTGGCTAGTCATGGGGTCATGTAATCTGCTGAATCAGTTCTGCTTGTGTGGCTAGGAAGAGCACGGCAAAGATGACAGTGTGTGACTTACAAGGCTAAGATATAAATATTTTTTGGATTCAGCCTTCCTCTCTTGGATTACTGGCACTGGCAGAAGCCAGCAGCTGCCTGTTATGAGACAATGGAGCAGTACTGAGGAGCCCCTATGGGGAAGAACCGAGTCCTTTCCACAATCAGCAGCACTAACCCCTAGTTGAGGCCTCACCTTCAGGTGACTGCAGCCCAACCAACAGCTGGCTGTAATCTCACTCAAGACCCTGAGCCAGAATGATTCAACTAAGCAATTCTGAAATTCTTGACCTACAGAAACAGAATAAATGCTTGTTTTAAGCTACAAAGCTTTTGGTTTAATTAGTGCAGTCACTAATATGATTTTCTTTCTCAACTTTTCCAGCAATAATGGCTGTAGTTGCTTATCTAAGACCAACTGAAGAGCAAGTATCGAGGTGCTTTAGTCCTTGAAGTAACCTGTAAGTAGATATTCCAGTAGTACTGCAACAAGACAGCAAGCTAGCAAATGTAGGAGAACAGACAGATGCTCTGGTTTGTTTTTTAGCAGTATTAATTACACATCTCGATTTGGAACAGGTACAAAGGCTCAGGAAAGCCCTCAATCCCTTTCTTCCTCCCTA